CAAAGATTTTCCGATTACGGCTGAACTGAGTGTCTTCCAGTCAATCCATCCGGGCTCTCGGGAAACCGCAGATCGGAGCAGGATGTATATAGATCGGCGAACATATGGATCGTCGTGATGACAGAGAGCCCATAAATTCTTGCTGGCTAGCAAATTCTCAATCTCTGACAGGTTCTTCTGTAAATCTTCATCGGACGAATTGCCTAGGAACAATGGATGGTTAGATAGAGTCTTGCAAGTAGAAACGCTTAGCATACCTAGTACGCGATTGAAAAGCAAAATTGCGGCTCCTGCAACACGGGCATATTTCCCCTCGGCATCATCTCTCTTCACTGTTCTTTCATCGCTCAATGTCAAGGATGTTTGATGAAGAATAACATCATCTACAAAGTCCAAAATGGAGCTTTGGTAGATCCTCCACACGTTGTTACGTTTTTCCTCGGTTGTAAAGACTTTTGTGAATGATTCAAGAGCAGCACGGTGGACGAGTCGATCATTGTCATAGATTCCTGCGATCCATGCTCCGATCACTTTAGGTAAAGTAGGCACGATCCGCTTCCCAACGAGACCAGAAATTGTACCCTGTATCGGATGGGCAGTTTGACGTACTCGGCGAGACAAATCAATCGAGAGTCGGGGATAAATTCTGACCTAGTGGGAAAACATTGTTATTACTTAGTGTTTGTATGTAGAAGCAATATATACATACCCATGCATCTAGAAACCCGTCATCCAGAGTTCTCTTGTTCTTTTCCACTGTTGATATGTGGTCGCGCAGCTCCTCTAGAGCCTTCAATCGTGTAATGTCATCCTTCTTCAGTAAATTCTTGAATGCGATAACTAGTTGCTGCTTCGCAATGCGAGAAAGATCTGGTGGTGCGGCAATGTATGTGAGAGCGGACGCCTCCTTTCCTTCACTGGAGAGACCACCAGAGAAGCCCCCAAATGATCCAAAGGCGCTGGCAGCAGCGCGACTGCTGGAGGCCTGGGATTTGAACTTTTTGCTCATGTGGGGTATGAGGTCAGCGGGATAAGGGAGTAGTGGGGGAGGACCTCAAATTGAGGATTGTGGAAAGGCCTCGGAGAGAGCAAGGGGCTCTATGAATTCTAGATTGTAGTGTGATTTGGATGTTGTATTCACTCCCTCATCGCGTGTGTGAAGCTGCAAGCACATTCAATATCAGATCTCCAAAAGATCCGCGGGACCAATATACTCATCACGTGAGTTTGTGTCATCGCTGTCCCAAATAGGACAAGCGCAGAGGCGGAGCCGCGAAAGATGGGAGCGAAGCTATCTTCACTTGTGATTCTTTGCCCTCTTGCGTTCTGCATCAGAGCCCAGCCAAGATGAAGTTCTTCATTGAGTATGTCCCTTGTGTATGGTCTTATCTAGTATTCAAACTGACCATATCTGTCCCACACAGTGATCTTCCGGTGCTGTTTCCGTATCCTCGCATTTACCCCGAACAATATGCCTACATGTGTGATCTCAAGAAGACCCTTGATGTCGGGGGTCACTGTGTGCTGGAAATGCCCTCAGGGACTGGCAAGACAGTTTCGTTATTGTCGTTGATCGTCGCCTACCAACAGTACTACCCAGAGCACCGTAAGCTCATCTACTGCTCCCGAACCATGTCGGAGATCGAGAAAGCTTTGGCGGAGTTGAAGGCTTTGATGGAACATCGCGCTAAAGAGCTGGGTCATGAAGAGGAGTTTCGTGCGCTTGGCCTGACCAGTCGGAAGAACCTATGTCTTCATCCTTCGGTAAAGAAAGAGAAGAGTGGCACGATTGTTGATGCCAGGTGCAGAAGCTTGACAGCTGGGTTTGTCAAGGAGAAAAAGGAGCGCGGCGAAGATGTTGAACTCTGCGTATACCATGAGGTAGGACCTTTTTATCTGCGATACGGCATTAGACAAGCTAACATGGCTAGAACCTTGACTTACTTGAGCCCCACAATCTCGTTCCCCCAGGCGTTTTTACACTGGATGGGTTGGTAAGATACGGAGAAGAGCACAAGCAATGTCCTTACTTCTCTGCTCGACGCATGGTAAGATATCGAGCGAGTAGCTTACAAAGTGTGCTATTTTTAACAAGCTTCACTAGATGCCATGGTGCAATATCATTATCTATTCCTATCACTATCTTCTCGATCCGAAAATTGCGGAACGAGTATCCCGGGAGCTCTCCAAAGATTGCATTGTGGTCTTTGACGAAGCGCACAACATTGACAATGTCTGTATTGAATCGCTCAGTCTAGACATCAGCGAGGATTCCCTACGAAAAGCGACTCGGGGTGCAAACAACCTAGAGCGCAGGATCGAAGAAATGAAGAGCACGGACGAGGAAAAACTCAAAAACGAATATACCAAATTAGTGGAGGGATTGCAGGAAGCTGAGAAGGCCCGGGAAGAAGATCAATTCATCTCGAATCCGGTATTGCCGGATGATTTACTCAAGGAAGCCGTCCCTGGTAACATCCGCCGGGCCGAGCATTTCATCTCTTTCCTGAAGAGATTTATTGAGTATTTGAAGACTCGGATGAAAGTCACCCATACCATATCGGAGACACCCCCTTCTTTCCTTACTCATCTAAAAGATCTTACCTATATTGAACGAAAGCCTTTGAGGTTCTGCGCCGAGCGTTTAACGTCGCTTGTACGAACGCTGGAACTTGTCAACATCGAAGATTATCAACCTCTTCAAGAGGTGGCCACATTTGCAACCCTGGTCGCAACTTATGACAAGGGATTCGTTCTTATCCTTGAACCCTTCGAGTCGGAAGCGGCCACTGTACCAAACCCCATCCTTCATTTTACGTGCTTGGATGCCGCTATTGCTATCAAGCCGGTATTCGATCGCTTCAGATCTGTGATCATTACCTCGGGAACTTTGTCGCCCTTGGAAATGTATCCGAAGATGCTGGGGTTCAATGCTGTTCTTCAAGAATCTTACAGTATGACACTCGCTCGACGATCTTTCTTGCCCATGATTGTCACTCGAGGGTCCGACCAAGCGCAGGTCTCATCTTCCTTTGGGATTCGCAATGATCCTGGCGTTGTGCGAAACTACGGAAGCCTGGTGACCGAGTTTTCTCGCATCACACCTGATGGTGTTGTCGTTTTCTTTCCTTCTTACCTCTACATGGAATCAATCATCAGCATGTGGCAAGGTATGGGTATTTTGGATCAAATCTGGAACTACAAATTAATTCTTGTTGAAACTCCTGATGCACAAGAATCGTCACTCGCGCTGGAGACCTATCGAACGGCGTGTTGCAATGGACGTGGCGCGATCTTGTTCTGTGTCGCTCGAGGCAAAGTTTCTGAGGGTATTGATTTCGATCACCAGTACGGTCGTGCAGTCATTTGTATCGGTGTACCCTTCCAATACACTGAATCTCGAATCCTGAAAGCTCGTCTCGAGTTCTTACGGGAGAATTATCGTATTCGCGAGAACGACTTCTTATCTTTTGATGCGATTCGACATGCAGCCCAGTGTCTGGGCCGTGTCCTGCGTGGTAAGGACGACTACGGAGTCATGGTGTTGGCGGACCGTCGGTTCGAGCGAAAGCGCCCCCAACTCCCCAAGTGGATCAACCAGGCAATGCTGGACAGCGAAACCAATCTCAGCACTGACATGGCTGTATCCAATGCCAAGAACTTCCTGCGGACCATGGCCCAGCCTTTTAGGGCAAAAGACCAAGAAGGCATTTCGACCTGGGGGTTGGCTGATATCGAGCGCCATGAGGCAAAGAGGAAAACCGAGGAAGAGCGGATGATTAGAGAGGAGGTGAATAACGGGCACGCAATGGGTGGAATGATCCCATCCGCATCTCGGATCGTCGATGACGAATACGACGAGAACATTGATGCGGACCTCATGATGCTCGATGCGCCATAAAATAATCTTGTTTGTTCTTTACATAATGACGCATCTACTGGCATGGACAGGGCGTTTGGAATTGGGCATGATGCCATTTAGCATAGACGGCGTTTATTTACCTTGCAATTAAAGACAAATCTGTGAAGTCATTATCTTTGGTATCTAAACAAATTCAAAAGCAGATAATCAGCTAGGACAAAGTGAATGATTTAAAGCATCCATTCTCAATGCCTTGAATTTCATGAATGTACCGTATATCTTAAAGTCATTAACAAGATCTAAAGGGCCTTGGGGGTCATAATCGAAGCAAAGAGGCGTCTCTGATCCGCTTAGAATGCCACAGGCGTCGACCACGGGCGTCGGGTTTGAATCGCTTATGAAGCTCTGGCTTTTGTTCAGTATTGATCCCAAAGTCCCAGGCTTTCTCACAGCAGAGGTGCTCCACAGTGCAATGACCAGCGTCAAATCTTCGACCGGGCATATGATAACGGTTAGGGCAACATCTGCAGTCTCTTCCAGAACACCCTCCTCTTGAAACACAACCGCCATGGAGTGAATCATGCGTCTATCATCTCGGCTTTTTGTTTTATTATCTACAGGAGTAGAGGGCCGCTTATACGGCCTTATAATGTCTTTCTTACAGGGCTGTGAAGTGGTCTTTTCGGCGGTCTTCTCAGTAGGTTTCTCAGTGGGCTTCCCGGTTATTCTTTTCAGGTATATTTGATATAGTTTTCCCCCTTCCCAGTCTGTAGGTAGACGGGGGGAAGGGCGGTATGAGGTGGGATAGAGCGGGATAGAGCGGGATAGAGCGGGACAGAGCGGGATAGGGCGGGATAGGGCGGGAGAGGGCGGAAAAAGCATACTTTGTGCAAGAGAATTTGCTATACAACTTGTGATGAGATGAGATGATACAAAAAGACATCACAAAGCTAAGCGGTTGACTCGTCTTTCTTAATTTAGGAATATAAGGGACTATCAATAGTCTTGCCAGCTTCTTCTACTATGTCTACGTGGTGATCTTACAAGGTCCTAAGAGAATGAACTAGACGTGGAGTATGGGTAGTTGGATATTGACAAACTCAAATCACAAGTACTTTGTAAAGTTTTATAAGGCTATTTACTTATCCGCCTCAAAGATGACCTTGTGGGCCCGCATGTTATCGAAATCGTCATATCTATCAAAGGGTTAGTCACATTCTGTCGAAGTCTGGGGAAGAACTTACGCCTGAGCGGCCTGCGAGAGCGGCCGAATATCTTGAGACATGAAACTGGAAGGCATTAGCAACTCGCAAAACAAAGAATATTGGGTTATTCAAACTCACTTGAGGGTGTCCTGCTTCTTTTCGAAAAGTTCCATGGCCTGGCCGAAGATACCTAACACAATTTAGTAAAACAGTCAAAATGAGACTCGGAATCAGACATACTCCGAACAGGGCATCGGCCCATCTGTAAACGAAGGTTCTTGCCGTAGGCTTCGTTTCCGGTCCAGGGGATATCCTGGTTGTGGACACCGACACTCGAGATACGGCCCCAGGGCCGTAGCAAATCGAAGCCCATTCTGAGAGCGCTACTATGTCCAACGACCTCAATAACAATATCTGCTCCACGACCATCAGTAAGATCCTTGACCCTCTGGCGTAGACCTTCTTCGTCCTCCTTGAAATTCCACGGCTCAGCTCCTAGACTCTGTGCAAGTGCTAGTCTGGAAGGCACGCTATCAATTGCAATCAAATTCTTCGGCTTGTAATCGAGAGCACTAACAAGCGCACAGATACCAACAGGACCACATCCAAAGAGGAGTACAGTGCTGTTTTGAATCTCCTCCGGGGTTGAGTTTGAGAAAGCATTCATAGAAGCAAAGTACCCGGTTGGGAATATATCGGCCATAAGAACCAGCTTCTTCTCGTCGATTGAAGCCGGAATTTGAGCAAGAGTCGAATCGGCTAGTGGAACGCGTACATATTCGGCCTGTCCACCGTCAAGTCCAGTAGTACCGAATAGCTGGCTTCGAGCGCACCGAGAGGAGAAGCCACGCTCACAGTAGAAACATTCTCCGCAGCTCGTAGTAAAAGGCGAGACTACTCGGTCTCCCTTTTTGAGGTTCTTGATGTCCGATCCAACCTCGACGACTTCACCTGTAAATTCGTGGCCCATGATAAAGTCCGTACCGGACTTCTGGTGGCCACGAAAGACATGGAGTTCACTTTGTGAATATGAGTGACTGCGTACTGCTGAAGGTGGTTCCATGCTCTCTTACCTGCCACATAACGCAGTGTATCGCACCTTTAAGATGGCATCTGTTGGATCTTGAATCTGGGGGATAGGCTTTTGCTCGATGGCGACCTTGGACGGGCCCTTGAAAACGACGGCTTGCATTCTGGTGAATATGGTCTTTCCTACGGTTGTTGTAGAGGAAGCAAAGAGGTTCGATGATGCTGCAGGTGGCACAAGTCACATTTTAAGTCGCAGGGATATGCGTAGTCCGGCGACATCCCCGAGGGACCTCGGCAGATCTCGGACTTTTGCAGGCGCAGTAGAATATTGAGTTTAAACGGTATTTAAACACAAGTGAATTGAAAGGGAATGACATGTACACATTGAGACCAAGATTTGAAGTGTCGTGGGGGTAACAATGGGCCTCGTCCTTCTAATGAAAGATGTATCAGAGCTGTTTTTGATAGGTATTTTGCGGGGTAAGTTGTATAGAGGTGGGATGTTGTATACTTGGTAACTGGCCAGGGACATAGAATATAAATTCATGTTACAACACCATTAGGAAAAGATCTATTTATCTAGTCAAGATGCTAATATGAACAAGACTTTTTTGGTTCCGCTGACAAACTCCAGGACATATCAAAGATGAAGCGAAAAACATAAATAGCTTTGCATAAACACAATATACACATGAGAAAAACATATTTCAAAAACTCCATCCAGTCAGAGACTATGCTACAGGAGCAAGAATGTCAAAGGAGCCAGTGCCGACAGTACCGACACGACCAACAACAATTCTAGCACTAGGACTCTTGAGGTTATCAACACCCTTTTCGAGCACAACGTCCTTAAGGGCGCCGACAGTAGTCTCGAAACTGGCACGCGCGAAAGCAGACGAAGCCTCCTTAACCAAGCCGTTGCGACTGAAGGCCTTGAAGCCACCGGACTGGGTCATCACATCACCGATCAAGTTCAAGTGACGGTTGTCAACGGAGATACTGTGACCCTTGAAAACGGCATCCATTTCGCGAACGATGGTGGCGCGAGCAGCTTCAACACCGTACAGGTTGAGCATGTCGTGGATGGAGTTGGTGTAGATCGAGTGGGGCTTGATGATATCCTGGTAGTCGCGCATGGCAAGAAGGTTGACACCCTCAGTAAGGATGTTGGCGGGATCACCCTTCGCCTCGTCAGCCTCAACGAAGACACAGTTGCCCATGCCGGGGATACACTGAATGACGGCGAGGTGGAGAACCTTCTCAACCAGGGGAAGGAGAAGAAGCTTGGGAGTCTCAACGTCGTACTGCAGTTGGATGGAGCAAGTGTTGCCCTTCTTCGGGTCGAACTTGAACTTCGTGATCTCCTCGAACTTGCCCATGACGTCTTCCTCGCGCGCCTTGCTGTCTTGGGCGGTCTCGTCATCAGAGTCATCCTCGGAGTCAGAGCCGTCCTTCATTTCAACGTCGCGAGTGCGCTTAGCAGGCTTAGTGCTTTGATCTTCTTCATCTTCGTCTTCCTCGTCAGAGTCTTGGCCTCTGATGATGTCCTGCTCGGCGTCGTCTGGTCCTTCGTAGGAGACCTGGTGGCCCCTGTTCTGAGCTCCGGCAGCCCGCTTGGCATCGTCCTCGTCATCTTCGTTGTCGTCGTCGGCTGGCTGGGCCTCAGAGTCAGCGCCTCTGGGTGCCTCTGCGATTTTACCGACTGAAACACCGATTTCAGGCTGAGAAGTTGTGCCCTTGACGCCCTTCTTCTCTTCATTGCGCTTCTTGAGCTCAGCCTTTGTGAGTCTCACCAAGCGAGGGATGAGCTTGGATTGCAGGGCAATCAGAACATCCTTGGTCTCAATGGCGTATTCCTTGGTGTATTCTTCAGACGGGAAGAAGTCGATCTCGATGTCGTAGATCTTAGCCTTGGCGTGGCCAATGCCTGAGCCAATGCGTTCCCTAACTTGCACCTTATCAACAAGTTCAGCAATGCTGAGTTTGCTAATAGCCTTGGCGAATTTCTCCGAGTCGTCCTTGGAAATCTCCTCATTCAGAAGAAGGGTCATCGTAGGCGTCATAATCTTGGCACTGGCAGTCATAACAATTTCACGTAGACGGGGGATACCCAGTGTGACGTTCTTTGCCGAGTGACCAGCCAAATGGAAGGTGTTGAGCGTCATCTGTGTGGACGGCTCTCCAACGGATTGACCGGCCATAATTCCGACCGCCTCACCAGGGTCAATGATCGACTTCATGTACTTCATGTTCATCAAAGCCTCAAAGGTCTTCTTGGTAACCTTGCCCTCAATATTCTTCTTCTTGTCTTTAATGAGCTTGTTCTTGTTGACATCCGCATACTATTTTCATAAGCTGTTAGCATTGCAATGAGTCCAAGGAAGAGATAGTGAGTCCATACCTTCTTAAGCGCCTGGGCGAACGCTTCGGAAGTACTTCCGAGGTTTCCTCCAGGGGGAAGCGAGACAACACGGGGTCCACGGCATCAATCTTTCCGGTCTTGCGGACAGCCTTCATGGCATCCTTGTGCCAATCCGTAACATTTTCCTTCGCCAGTTTGTGGTAATCATCGGCTTGAACTTGCTTGGAAATGGAGATGTGGTTCTGAGCAAGGAAATCGAAGTCGTTCAGGTGCACCTGCTTGGTGATGTCGAGACCGTCCTCTCCGTACAAGAACTGGACAATAGAGCCATCTGATGCTTCACGGACAGAGGAGTCATACTCAGCCTTGAGGCCTTCCATACCCTTGATCAAACAACGTTGCAAGTAACCAGATCTAGAAGTTTTGACGGCGGTATCAATAAGACCCTCACGACCAGCCATGGCGTGGAAGTAGTATTCTTGGGGCTTGATACCGGTCAAGAAACGACCAGAGACGTAGCCACCAGCCATTGGGTGAGTCTCGAAGGCCTTGAACGATGGCAGAGTCTTTCCACTAATCATGAGTGGTACACGGCGACCTTCAAGAACCTGTTGACCGAGATTACAAGAAATCAGGTTGGCATTAACGCCAGATCCCTTAGCTCCAGATATCGTCATAGACTGCATCTGGTTCCAGGGGAAGGGCTTAGCAAGGCCGTATGGGAGACAGGCGCTGGTGATTTCAGATGAGAGCTTGGCAGACCGGGCGTTAGAAACACTATCCAGGCCACTTTGCTTGTCGTCATCGCGAAGAACCTCCTCCAGTCGTCGGTTCAACTCGGCAGTCTGGTCACCAGGAGCCTGGTCCAAGGTAACATACTTCAGAGCAACTTCGCGACCCATCTGAGGAGCAGTGGCCAACTTCTCCTTGCGGATACGGTCACCCTCCTTAGTCAATCGAAGATCGTCGATACCACAACTGAAGCCCCGCAGGTTCAGGACACGAGTGAGAAGTCTTCCAAGAATACCGATGAGCTTACCAGCAATGCTGTATCCATAAACCTCATGGATGGCATCGATGAGACCACCCGCGGTGGGACCGAGCTGTTTCTTATCAAGGATACCACAAAGGTACTCTCCATCCTGGAAGATAACATCGCCTTCCTCGTTGCCCTCACCCCATCGATCGCCAGGCGTTGAAGACTTACTCTTCAAGGTTAAGCCTCCTCGTTCTGGGGGCTGGATGTTCTTGAGAATTGTCGTGATGATCTGCTTTCCGGTCCATAGGCACTTGGGTTTGCGCATTGCAGGCTCGACCAGTTGGATCCGGTCAGTGACGATATGCGAATGTTCTGGTCTCAAGCAACTGTACAGCAGCTGGTGATAGTCCTCCTCATCATAGAAGCTGTCACGGCACGTAACCCACGTTCCCATTGAAATATGATCTTGGATCAGACCTCTCAGTGGTTTGCCTGACGTTGCAACGAGATATTGGTGGTCGGCATCTGCCAACATTCTGGCTTCCGCCTGAGCAAGCTCATTTTGAGGGAAATGCATGTTCATCTCGTCACCATCGAAATCAGCGTTGTAGGTGTTACAATTGGCGTAGTGCATGCGAATAACGCGCTCGTTGGGAAGGACGCGAGCCTTGTGACCCATGATGGAGGGTTTATGCAGAGTTGGCTGACGGTTCATCAGGACGTAATCACCAGTGGTGAGATGACGATAGACCTTCTTGTTACGCGAACCTTTCTGGCGCCAGTTTGACGGTGCAAGCAATTGATTGGCAAGCGCTGTCCGCTCTTCCAGGTTCTTGAACTTGAGGTTGATGACTTGTCCGTTTTCATTCTCGATGGAAGAAGCGCCGGGGTATTTGTCAGGGCCGTTGATAACAGCCTCCTTCAGCTCCCAGAAGTTGTGGTTTGTCACAGGTTCAGGGAAAGTCAACTTCTTGGCGAAGACAAGGGGTACACCAATCTCATTGGGTTCAATGTTGGGATCGGGTGAGATAACACTACGAGCAGCAAAGTTGACACGCTTGCCCATCATGTTCTTTCGGAACAAGCCCTCCTTCTTCTCGAGAATCTGCTTGATACCATTAGGCTGTGATAAGGCAGCTGAGCCGGTGACCGAGGTACGATCGCGGTCAATCAAACCATTGACCACATCTTGGAGCTGAACGATAGCTTGAAGAAGATCACTGTAGTTCCGTGCCCGAGACATGGTCTTCTCTTCCTCGTTTTGGATCTCTTTGCTGATTTGACTGATGGTGTCACAGCCCTTCAAAATCGCATTGAATGAAGTGTTCTGCTGCGCCTCCATGACTGTTCCGGCACCCTGCTGGACTGCGGGACGATACTTGTTTGGCGGCACCAAAAGACTCTTGATGAAGAACATGTCCGCTGACACAACTTTCATTCCCTTGGGCACAGGCCGAGAGTTGTAGACAAGCTCTAGGATCTCACTTTCTTTTTGGAAGAGAAGATGGAGAGCTGCATACACTTCAGAAGAAGAAATAAATTCCTGGCCAGCCGATCCCTGTGCCTCCTGCACGACAGCACCACCACGGCGGATTTCCTCCTCGGCTCCATGGATCTCAGAAACACCGTCCTTGGACTTGGAGTTCCGTTCTTGCTCAAGAAGAACCATGGTATTTGGTGCCTGGAATCCTCCTTGCAGCATCGCAAGCTTTTGCTTCTCGGGTAATTGCTTTCGGAAGATTTTGTTGTAGCGGTCCTTTTTATAGGCGGGGGACACTCTGCTATAATGTTAGCCCGAAATTCAAAGTCGAGGTCGAGGAACAGTGCATAACGTACCCGCTGCAGCTGACACATTTCTTGACTGCATTGATATCCTTGAAGAAGGCCTTGAGCAACTCTCGTCTGGCTTCTGCGGCAATAGGGTTCTGTCCACCAGGCATCAATCCGTCCAACTTGCCCTCCTTCTTGGCTTCGCGGATGCGCCGAGTGACATAATCGGTTCTCTTTTGCATATAGTCATCATCATCGGCATCGTCTGAGTCGTCTGAATCGTCCTCGTTGCCCTTTGTGGGCTTTGATTTAGCACCTTTTACGGCTCCCATGGCATCGACAATAGCGACTTCGTCGACCAAGCCATATTGCAGAAGGCGCAATTTGCAGGTGTACATGTTGACCTGGTTGCGACCCATCTGGAGGCGAAGACAGTACACACATTGTGCTCGGAGAAGGCGGAAGATGTGATCGAAGAAGGTGACATTATAGAATGGTACTGGCAGCTCAATGTGCCCAGGATGTCCGGTACAAGTGAAAGAGTTCTGGCGACAAGTAGTACATCTGTAAAATAAGAAAATCTCTCATGTTAAAGATTGAACGGAATACTCATCAAGTCAAGACTTACACATGATCTCCCCAAGCACCCATAGCAGGGTCTTGAAGACCACCAGGGACAGGATTGTTGAATGAATCCAAAGTCGGAGTATTGTGAATTCTTTTCACCGAGAGAGCTTTAATCTCTTCCTCGGAGTAGACATTGAAGTCGACCCCATTAATGGTCGAGGCGACCGGGCGCGCGAAAGTTGCCATTGTAGCCTGCAGCTCCTTGAGCAACAGAAAACGCTGGCGCACGAAATCAAAGTGCTCGGATTCAGATCTCCAAGTGCTTTTAGTTCTGGAGCGAACTTTTTTTTTTCCGGAGGAGCCAACTTCTTTTCTGCCCAGTTTCACCGCCTAACTCTTTTTGGTTTCTGCGTGGATCACTCTCATACACTCCTGCTGCTTGTCTATTCCTCATTGATTCAACCTTTTCGTGTCCTCCTATCCCGACAAGATTGAGTGAGCTATAAGCCGTCTACGCCATGGCCGACGCATCAGGTAACGCGCTGAAGCGTCCTCACCCTGAGGATCAACACGACAACTCCCAGAAAAGGACCCGCTCCAACCATGGGTCCCCAGTACCAGGTCAAGGAGGTGCTGCCCCGGGCAAACCAGATATTGCGAAAATAATGGCAGAGGCAAAGGCGAAGGCAGAAGCTGTGCGCGCTCGTCTACAGGCGCGCGGTGGTCTGACAGCGACGCCAACAACGCCAGCACCGTCCGCACCGGTTTCTCCAAGTCCTCCTCCCCCAGCACCCACCCCCGCGATGTCGAAACTAGAACAAATGAAAGCTCGAGTTGCTGCAGCTACGCAACGAGCCAGCGCATCCTCTCAGTCACGATCTAGTGCACCCACGCCATCCTACCAACCACCAGTCCGTGATGACGAGGGCATGTCCAAGGCTCGCGGTGGTCTGGATGTTGGCCTTCATCCCGCGCTTCTCTCTGATGCTGCAGTGGAATATCGGGGCGCAAATGGACGACAGGCTAAGGCAAAACGTGCTGGTGGGCCTCAGCTTGATCTGTCTGGTCCATCTGTTGAAGAAATCAAGAATAACCCTTATTTCGACCCGTCCATCAACCCCAAAGCAACCATTGCGAAGCCTCGACAAGCCCGAGAACTTCACTTCAATGAAAAGGGCAAATATATCCAACAAGCAGCGGCTCTCCGCACACAGGCGAAGATGGAAGCTATGAAGAAAAGAATTGAACAGCACTCGCGGCAGGCTGGACTTGACGAGGATATGGATGTACAGAAGGCATTCCTTGTTCCTGCTCCACCTGATGTAGAATGGTGGGATGCACAATTGATTAATGGCAACGACTATGATGCAATCGATGACCCCCAAAACATCAAACTTAATACCATCAATAGCTATGTCCAGCATCCTATTGAGCTTCAACCTCCGCAAGAAAAGCATAAGCCTGCACAAAAACCCATGTTCCTTACTCCGAAAGAACAAGCCAAGATTCGTCGACAGCGACGCATGGCAGATCTGAAGGAGCAGCAAGCCAAGATCAGACTGGGACTCGAGGAAGCGCCGCCTCCAAAGGTCAAGAAATCTAACCTCATGCGGGTCTTGGGAGAACAAGCTGTGAAGGATCCTACAGCTGTGGAAGCTCGTGTGACCAAAGAGATCGCAGATCGGAAGGACGCGCACGAGATGGCGAATGAAGAGCGCAAACTGACCAAGGAGCAACGGCGCGAGAAATTGGCAGCTCAGCAGGAGAAGGACGCCTCTTTAGGCATTTTCCAATCGGTGTATCGAATTGACAGTCTGGCAAGCGGCCGGAACCGCTTCAAGATCGGCAAAAATGCACAGCAAAATAATCTGACGGGCGTATGTGTCATGCATCCTCGGTTCAATCTGGTGATTGTCGAGGGCGGCCATCACTCCATCAACAATTACCGGAAATTGATGTTGAACCGTATTGATTGGACTGAAAACCCTGGGTCCGATCGAGTGCCTGCAGACAGCCCTGAAGCTAAGGTTTCCTGGTTATCCACTGAGGATGAAAAGGGAGAGCCCCGGGATTTTAGCGCGAACACTTGTAATCTCCTCTGGGAAGGTCAGACTCAAGGCCGGGCCTTCAAGAGATGGCTTGGTGCTCGTATCTGTGAAACGGATTCTGCTGCCAAAGAGACCCTGTCCCGAGCCAAGATGGAGAACTTCTGGACACTGGCGAAGAGTGCCAAACCAGCAGAGTATTAAGAGAAAAAACCATCCCTACGGCTGATCATCAAGGTCTAGGTCTATTGTACTTTTACAGATAGCGAATTTGCTTCATAGCCATATCATCCATACACATAATTCGCTTCAGATGATTACTCTTTACACCCAATATCCATTAACCCATAGACACCGTCAATCGTATGGAAACAACACTCAATGAGAGCTATGAAAAACTTTTAAAGTAAACAAAATTTCCTACCCACAGAAACCCCGCTCCATATGCAAAGCAAAATATTCCGCTAGAACATCACAGATCACAGATGAACATGTATGTAAAACAAAGTTATCAGGAAGGAGGACCCTGGTTCCCGCCGTGCAGGTTTCGTAACAGATCCAGTTGAGCTTTGACTTGGTCAAAGTTTACAATCGGGCTTTGGACCTGGGAAGGCTGGGCCTGGGGTTGGGACTGGGGCTGGGACTGGGGCTGTTGGTACTGCTGCTGAGATTGCTGATACTGCTGCTGTTGTTGCAGAAGCTGCAGGAATTGTTGCTGTTGTTGTAACATAGCCATGGACTGAGGATTGTATTGAGGAGCACCCTGTTGCATGTTCTGGAAGTTATTGGGTTGTTGCTGGAAGGCCGCATATGGAGAGAACTGGAAGGGCATTTGTGGTTGTGCTCCACCCTGGCCGAATTGCGGCTGCTGTGGGTTCTGGGCTTGCTGCTGTGTGTATTGCGCATATGGGGCGAAGGACTGTAGCATCCCATATGGCTGCTGGGGCTGCTGGTACATTGGCTGGCCGTAGGGAGCAGCGGGTTGAGCTTGAGGTTGAGGCTGAGGCTGAGACTCGTGGGCTGAGCCGCTGGCCTGCTGGGGACGACGGTCCTGATCCCACTCCCTTCCTCCGCGTCCACCTCTGCCTCGTCCTCCGCGTCCACGGTCACCCCGGTCACCACCCCGGCCACGGCCTCTGCCACCACGGAACCCGCCACGCTCATTACCTTCAACTGGTGGCTCGCGGGTCATCATCTCGTGGAGATTGGTAGGGCGCGCAAGAGGGGTGTAGCCCTCCTCACCTCCGGCATCGTCGTAGTTCAGCTCGCTCTGGTTCAATTTCGAAGGTCCTGGGGCTGGCTTCTTGCCTCTGGGACCTTCTCTGGCTTCCTTTCGCTCTTGTCGCTTCTGCTTCAGTTTCCGCTTGTATTCAGCTTCCGCTTCGTCGTCAGAGAATTCCATCTCTTCAGCGGCAACTTCCTCGTCATGGAAGTTGGAAGCATCACTTCCCTTCATACCCTTGAGCGGCTGAGTGAACACAAAGGTGGAGTGCTCCTCAACATAGAAAATATCCTTGCCCTTGACTAAGCCCTTGTCCTGCACTTCAGCAGCTGTGGCATATGTGATGGTATACAAAGGATTCTCCACTCGGCCCAGGGTCTCTGCTACTACACCAATCGTCTGGCGGTCATCAGAGCAGAGCAAAGAGCCCGACTCAAGTACCTGGTATTCTCCAGAGGTATTAGCCTCTATAAGAACATTATTATCGATAGCGGCATGAACTTTGCCAAGGAACACAATCTTCATCTCGGGAGTGATCTTAACGTCAGGGATAGGCAGGACCTGGTCTTCGATCTCGTTGGCGGTCCGCAATTGTCCGCCTTGTTTTCCCTTGCCATCTCCCTCGTCGTCGGAACCACCTTCCGCTCGCATGAGAATCTGTGCTTGCTCCTCGGCGCTGAGGATGGGATAGTCTTCATCGTCACTATCATCAGAGTCCGATGAATCAGAACTGTCTGAAGATGACTCGTACGGGGAAGAGTCTTCCTCCCACTCAGGGTGGTCCCCTTCTGTAGCGTCGCCAGCCTGACTAGTGGCTTCGATCATATTGCCTTGGCGGGTATCTTGCTCGACATGCATAGCTTCGTCGAGGGGAGCAGTAGTTTCGCTTTTGGTTTGTGCCTCTGCCTCATCCTTCATCACTACCTCGGTGGACTGTGACTGGGAGATGCGCTGTGTTTCCTCTTGCTTGATTTCTGTCTTCGCTTCATGGTTCCCCGCTGATTGATCTTGCTCTTGCTTGACTGTGTGTTCGGTCAAGACCGAGCCAGTTTCTTGTCCGGATGGGTGGTGAATAAGGTTCAATCCGGGGATCATATGGCTTGGCTTCAAGGAAGTAGAGGGTTCAGATGCGCTGTTTCCAGCATTTAGATTGGTTATCCCCATGTCCGGTGTGCCTGCAGCCAAGGGAGTGTTATAGAAATCGCTGCCGTTGTCTGGGGTCTCTGGGATGGGCGTCTCGATGTGACTGGGCTTTTTTGAGGCGGAGCCTTCGCCAGCACCAGTAGTTTCATTGAAAGGATTATGGTGTCCCTCCATATTGAATCTTCAACTCAAATATGTATTCAACAAAAATAGTCTAACTTGAAAGATCAAAAGTCGCACGGGAAACTTTTTTTTATTTTGCCAGACTCTACAGGGCGGTCAACAGAGTCTTATCGGTTATCGTAGCTCTATCCAATTGATCCACCTGCATGCCTTACAACTTACCTAGTCCAACTTGCAAGATGGCAGGGAACGAAATTGCCTCAGGGGATGCCCATAAGCCTCGATCAAAGAAGCAGTATGTATCTGAATCTGTACAGGACTTAACATGTCGCTAACCTATGTATAGGCCCCCGCGACCTCCATTCTACATTCCCCTCAACATCACTCTCTACCTATTCCTAACTGCCAACACTCTCGCCGCAATATTCTCTCCAATTCAAGATTGCGATGAGGTGTTCAATTTCTGGGAACCTGCGCATTATCTTCAACATGGATACGGTCTTCAAACCTGGGAATATTCACCGGTTTATTCTATCCGAAGCTGGCTCTACGTGTCGCTCCATGCTGCTGTAGGCAAAATCGGGTCTTTGGTCGTCCACAGCAAGACAGCTGAATTCTACACCATTCGCCTCTCTCTTGCGTTTTTCTGCACTGCCTGTCAGACTCGACTATACTCTGCGATATGCCGTACGCTCAGCCCCCGCATCGGTCTTTTGTTTGTGATAATCGTCATACTTAGCCCTGGCATGTTTCATGCTTCGACTGCCTTTTTGCCTTCTACTTTCACCATGTATATGTCTATGCTTGGTCTGGCTTCATTCCTGGATTGGAAAAATGGCCGGAAAACAGCAGAAGGCATCATGTGGTTTGGGCTGGGGACAATCGTTGGCTGGCCATTTGCCGGTGCTCTCATTGTCCCTTTTTTGGCTGAGGAAGCTATTTTCAGTATAATGTCTAGGTCTTTTGGCTCACTCTTGTACAATGTATTCGACGGCATCATTCGTTGTTTGTCGATTCTGGTAAGTGACATCGTGCTGAATTCCAATGTCTTTACTAATATGTATTACAGGCTCTTGAAGTTGCAGTTGACTATGCTTTCTTCCGAAAGCTCGTTCTCGTGCCTTGGAACATTGTTGCATACAACATATTGGGGGGTGAAGGTAAAGGCCCGGATATTTTTGGAACTGAGCCGTGGACTTTCTATATTCGAAACCTCTTGCTCAACTTCAATGTCTGGTTTGTCCTCGCCATGCTATCCGCACCCCTCCTACTTTTCCAGATCGTCTTTCGGTCGCACACCACCTCCTTACAAACCTCGTTGCGGTCCATGACCTTGGTCGCTCCCTTCTACATGTGGTTCGCGATCTTCTCGGTTCAGCCACACAAGGAGGAGCGGTTTATGTACCCAGCATACCCGTTCTTAGCACTCAGCGCGGCTTTGAGCTTCCATATTATTATGACCTACCTTGGCTCTACTGACCGGAAGGAAATGATCGGCCGCGTACCAACTAAACTGAAGGTGGCTGCAGCCTTGTCGGTTGTTCTAGTTGCACTCAACGCCGGCATGTTGCGCACTCTAGGAATGGTTACGGCCTATAACGCTCCATTGAAGGTTTTGGATCCCCTTCAGCATGTGGATAGCGCGCATGCGGGAGACTGGGTGTGTTTCGGCAAGGAGTGGTATCGCTTCCCGTCATCATATTTCCTTCCCAACGATATGCGCGCCAAGTTCATCCGAAGTGAATTCCGAGGACTACTTCCGGGCGAGTTTCCAGATTCCCCGGGTTATCTTGGGCGTCTAGATGGTGCTTCACAGATTCCATCTGGCATGAATGATCTCAACATTGAGGACCCCAGTAAATACGTAAGAGTCTCAACGTGGCGCTGGAACGATTGTTCCTATCCCTATGCTGACTTTCCAATAGGTTGATGTCTCTCAATGTTCTTTCCTGGTTGACTCTTACTTCCCCGGCCATGACGCCACTGAGCTAGAGCCCCATTACTTCCTGGACAAGGCGCAGTGGGAGACGCTTTCCTGCGCCAGCTTCCTCGATGCATCTCAAACAAATCTGCTTGGTAGACTGATCTGGATCCCTGACCTCCCAGTCATCCCAGCTCGCTTCCGACGCAAATGGGGCCAATACTGTCTTCTCCAAAGGACAGCAGGTCATGTCTAGATCCAGGATACCCCTGGAAACCCTTCTGAATAAAACCGATAGAATAATCATGTAAAAGCATCACGGAACATTTGGTCAAATACAAGCAACCTTGGAAATGTGACACCTAAGGTTGACAAGTACAAGTGTAGCGTCACCTTTCCCGATTTGGACAAAATATCCCTACCCTATAGCCTTTCCCGGCAGATAACCCTCACTCCGCGTCATTAGAGGCGAACAACAGACAGAGGCATGCAGTGTCGGATTTACCAGCTCGAAAAAGGCGATGTTCCCTCTTCCCCAGACAAGATAGTCTGTATTCCCAGCCATGATTGATATATTGACACACGATGGCCTATCTCGTATCGGATTAACACGGCCTCTCGCATGAAAGAGACATTTAGGCAGTTGAGATCTTTCCCCGCACTCCGAACTTGATAAGGGCGATCCGCTTTGCGCTCACTATATACCGAAAACTACTTGGGGTTCCTCGTCTTCTATTCTCAATGTGTCCTCGGACAAGTTGCTTTCTAGAAGTATCTCACCATGCCGGTACTTGAGCCCATCTGGGGGGCTATCTTATCGATATCAAACAACAAGGTTGTGAATGTCTTGCTCATTCTAAATGCCTGTGTATGGCTTGTTCTCTTGGTCTCACGCAAATGGGCTTCAAGCACGGCTAGAGCTTCGAGGAGTGATATAGAGAAACCCTCAGGTGTGAGAGGAAAGATCACCAGGACACCGGGTGGTAAGTGAATGCGGGAGTCAATCCATGCGAGAGCAAGGAAAACTCACTAACTCTTGCTGCGTAGAATGGACTCCTTCGGACTTCAAACGGCCAACAGCAGCTCCATACTCAGGATGGGATGTCCACTCAACAAAGCCAATTCCCTACCGACCCTTTAGATATGGCCCGTATGTTGAATAACTCCACTTGAGATATGACTATCTTCTAATTGTGTCTGGCAGAAAGTACTACATCACGCTGGGTCTAAGAACTATGAAATGGGACGAATGGATCGGTGAGTCGTTCATTGATCGCCAAATCCCACAAGCCCATTGACCACATATATCTCGAATATAGAGCTCGACAATCACTATCTAAAATACCATGCCGACAAGGCACGCCGTATCGAAGAGCGTGGAAGCAAATGCTGCCATACAGCACCAGAGGCAATGGATGCAGCAATCGAACTACTCGAAGAACTGTAAGGCCAAACCACGGACATACAACCACATACCTAAGAAGCCCATCTTAACACTCCGCTCACCATCTAGATGTACCTACCTCCCCGAGAGATACCCAAGCATGTTCACCAAGACCACAACAGGAATTACCAATAAAGTAACCAACGAAACCTTCAACATAACCCAACGACCACTCCCAGAAGACCCAATGGCAACAGCAGCACGACTAGTCCAAGACGACCTAGCCCTAATGATCGAGCGAGCAGACGGCGAATATTACCTACTCGCAGGCGCAATCCTGCTAGCCGGGTTCTGGCGACTGAGCGATAAATTCGGGATGCGACTTTCAGAAATTCACACATCCGGCGACGTACCGCAGTTCAAGAACAAGCTCGAAAAAGGAATGATGAATTTCTTCCGACGACTACGACCTGAAGAGCCCGTTCTACGGAACAACTATTTCATCCAGGTGGATGATAACCTGGCGTGGTCTGATAGTATTGGATCGGAGGATGCGGAGACAGTGTCGTGGAATACGGCGGAGAAGAATCGTGCGATTGAGAATCATTTCTTTCGCTCGGAGAGGCAGTCGTTGAGGAGACTGCCCAGATCTGGGGCGGTGGTTTTTACGATCCGGACTTATTTTGAGCCTATTACTGCGATTGTTGAGGAGCCTTATGTTCCTGGTCGCTTGGCTGATGCGATTAGGAGTTGGGGGGATGATGTTGGTCGGTATAAGGGGAAGGAGAAGTATCAGGATGTTTTGTTGGAGTTCTTGGATCAGAAGCATAGAGTGCAGGTTGAGGGAGGGTTGGAGATTGAGAGAGAGGATGAGGTTAGGAGCTATCCTCTTTGAAACTGCGACAAAGGACAAGAGTAGACGGCCGCTTATACGGCCTTGTGATGTCTGTCTCTAGAACTCTTAAGTAGTCTTCCTAGTGGTCTTCTCAGGTATCCTTCTTCGATCTCTTCATGATATTCTTCCCCTTGTCAGTTTTAGGTAAACGTCAGAGAAAGGCAACAATCGTACCTCGTGAAGTAATCTTCCCCATTCATGATCTTTGATGTACTTTGTTTATTCGACTCTGGTAGTTCTAACATCGGGGTAATAAAAAAGCATGCTCAGATATAACCAACTCCATATTCTTACAATCGCTGAACGTGTTAAATACAATTCAGACTCAAGACAAATTATATATCCGCGACAGACCCTCTCCGACCTCCACCCCGTCTCGCATAGGCCATCTCCCGCTCCTCACGCCAAGAACACTCATCGCGGAAGTCACAGATCCGACATTTCCACGCGTCCATGATGTCCACACCGCGAGGATCCCGCTCACCGCGCCACCAGGTCATCTGGTCGGTGAGGTAGGAGGTGAGGGATGTCGGATCGAAGAGGAAAGAACGACTTCCGATAAGCTGTCTCTCTCGGTCTTCGTTGGCGACAGATGAAAGATATCTAGCTGTGAGCACCGGGGAAAGGAGGGTTGGGTATGGTTCCAAGAGTTCTGGTTGGGAAAGTGATGGGATGGATGGTGCGATTGATTGTGTGTCGGGGGAACCTTCGGGTAGGAATGTGAGGCGGAGTTGTTGTATCATGAGACTCCAAAGACGGGAGAGGTTGTTGTGTGATAAGAGGAGGCTGGTTGAATCCTCGCTAGCATTAGAAGGACCCTCGTTCTGTTCTGATTCTTGGAAGGAGAGAGCGTCGAAGTATTGGTCGTTCAGACCCCCAACCTCCGAGACAAAGGCGTTCGTGAACGGCTTCTGAGCGTCGAAATCATAACGGGTGGCGAGGAGGTCAATAGTGACATCGTCGCTCGTGATCATCCGGTTGAGCATATGATAGTAAAGTTGCAACTGGAGAAGAGTAGGCCGGAAGCCCGTGCTCTTGACAGTCGGTAGCGATCGGTTGCCCTTCGTCTTCACGTCTGTTAAATAAATCCGGCGCAGGTTATACACCTCTGCAGGTAGTTCAGACTCAAAGTGCCCCGTTTCCTCGGCTTCATTCTGCCCCAGGTCTGAAAGCTTCATCCCGCCTTGCGAAGAAGAAAGCAAATAGTCCGACAAAGACATCTGATACTCCGGTAGCGCAGCGCGCGACGCTACAACATCCGCATAGTACCCAGCAGCAGTAGCCTCAAGCTCCGAGTTGGGACACTCGTAGGACAACTCATCAATAACGCCATTGACAAATTCCCCATCGACAACGCCCCAAACCTCCAGCTCACGCGTTATGCCATACTCGCGCAGCATGCGCAGTCCCTGAATGACATTCCATATCCTGAGACCCCACGCGTCTTCTTTAGTCGTGATTTCCACAGGAACGGTAGTGTATATCTCATCTTCGAGCGTCTTGTGCATCGAGCTGCCCTTCTTCATCGCAGCAGTCGGCTTCTTCCGCCCATGTTTGGTCAACGTGAGCCAGTACTGCAGCTCGCACCAAGCTGGTGAAACGAGATCAGTCACCGAGAACGCTTTGTTGGGTGCTTGTCGATACCGTTCGACCGGGGTTCGAGTGTCGAGCGCTGCGGCGGTGGGATCCTGTTGTATCCATTCTTGCTCACGCACTGCGTTGCGCTCGCGTTCTCTTTCTCGGCCCTCGGTTGAACTAGGGTTCTCGACTAAACGCTTCGGAGAAGATGTTGTCAGCTCAATTCAACTTGGTTGTAATAGGGCCCCATAAAAAAAGATTAAAGTGTGGACGATCAACGGGCAAGGGGATGGAGAAAGCTGATGAAAAGCATACCAAACGGGCTGGTCCTGTTGCTGTTGCGAGCGCGTGAATTCGACTTGCCCCTTGCACTCGCATTCGCACCCCATCTAACCGCCTGACCTGGTCGAGGCTGCGATTGCCGCCATGTCGAGCGAGGCTTTTCCCGGCCCAGTACCTTAGGCAGCCGGACGCTAGGCTCAATGCCATCCTCGATATCTGCAACGAGTGCCTCTAGAGCTGCCGGGTGCAATGACTCGAGGTCGGCGAGTTCAGGGGATTTTGGCGTGGTGAGCTGTTCGATGGGCGTTGGAGTCGAGATCCAGGTTGTCGAGATCGAGGTGGCGTCGGCGTCGGCGGCGGTCGCATGTTCCGCAACGGCTTTGTTCAGCAAATTGTTTAACAAAATTTCTTCATCTGGAGTGAAGTCAGATCCGTAATCAGAGTCATCATCCATTCTCTCCTGGCAGGACATGCCTGCGACTGGAGGGGATCATATTCTGTAGATGGAGTTGATGTCCTGGTGCGTCATTGCGTGAGGGAGCCTTAAGAATCCCGGTGTTCTTACTGGCCGATCATTACACACTCGATAATCGTAGAAAATAGTAGAGATCACATAGAATGCAAATTAGCAAAGAAGGCTGAAATCTATTGATCTAAATAAATCTTTTGGTATCCCATGCATCGCTTCAAAACAAAAAGAAAAGAAAACATCACCAACGCCGATCTTCGGCAGGGATCTATAAATCTATACATCCACTCGACCTTAAGTGTACTTTTTGAATCTGCTTTCCACGCATTCACGCAGTCCCAGCAGAGATCATATTCCCTCCAGTAACAGCATGCAACGCACCACCCATGCTCTCCGCCGCAGCAAGCGCCTCAGCAGCCGCAACCTCCTTAGCAGCCTTCTGATTCAACCAGCTCAGATAAGTCTGCCAACCAACCGCAATACCCCCCCGAGAAGATGTTCCGGAACTGCGGCTGCACATACAAGAACATGAATGCAGTGACAGCCGGCCAGAGCTTAACGCTGTTCTGGATACTAACGGGAAGAGCCTTCTTCACCCGCTCATATGTCTCCTCGAGCGTCGCACCAGCAAGCAGGGAGTGCATGCTAAAGAAGTACGTATTGAAGACGGGCGTGAAGCACGACTGCTGCACGACGACCTTTGTCAGGATCGAGAGGATCTTGCTGGGGTAGTTGAAATGGTCTCCGAGGAACAAGAACCTAGCGCCAGTGTGTTAGTCAACCAATACATGCACATATCTGTAATTCCACCATATAGCAGTGGTAACAATCCGATAAGAAGACCATTCATAACAGAATCCCGACAAAACATACCACTTATAAGACGGAATGCTCGACAAACCCCCAACACACAAATGCCGCAACGTCCTTAGCGGATCATACCCAGCACTGACAGTTTCCCTATCCCCCCGCGCAACCACATCCCCATCTTCAGAGTCCGATCTCGCAGGCGCAGGAACCTCCGTAGGGAACAACATCTGCGCACTTAGATCACCACATAGGTAGATAACGATCGAGCTCCAGAACTGCGTTGTGTACGGCTTGCGCTCCTGCGCGCGCGCATACCATCGACCAAACTTGCCCACCGGACCAGCCTTTATCACCTCACGGAATCCACGACGCGCAGGTGTGACTATAGCCCCAGTTGCAGCAGCAGAGGCGGGGATATTGTCTGGTAGTTTGGGTGGGTGTGCGTGTATGTGATTTCTCTCAGGTGTCTTTCCTGCAGAGGAGTCGGAGTTGTGTCGGCGTTGTGGGCGTGGTTGGCGCAATAGCTGGGGTTGGGAACTGGGAGTTATCGGTCGGCGGAGGGTGGAGGTTGAAGGTGAGGTCGAGGCCCTGGATAGGCCATTTCTGAGGAGGCTCATGTCCAAGACCGCGACTAGTTATTTACAAACTGTGAATGGTTGAAAGTGGAAGGGAGAAAAAAAGATGGTTAGAAATTATGTACAACACAGAAAGCGATGCGCTTTGAGATCCGACCTCGGGGTTACGATAAGGGTCTAATGGCGAAAAGCGGGTGAAATCAGTGCCGGAGACCGGTTCCGATTGGATTTCTTCTTTCATTGAAAAGTCTTATAGTTGAGAAAATTGACGTTATTTGCAAACTGATAAACATATATTTCTGTAAAATAAAACTCCAGCTCTATATAATGCATCCCATAAGAACATTAGTCGGATGAGGTTGCCCTCAGTATGATATGAACGGGTATCAAAGTAAAAACAAACGCCTAAAGGGCAACGGTACTTTTTTGTAACAGGGAAGAGTGGGGGTCAATAGAAACTATGATTATAGTGACACAGGCGAGTATAGGTATGACAAGCCCGGACAAGAGATGGTAAGATGAAAGGATATAAACAAGCTGCTCAGCAGCCGCTTATTTGAAGGAGTCACGAGTGTGGACACGATCAATATCGTAAGGGTTTCCATCGTAGGTAACCGAGCGAGCCAACGAGGCAGTGGTGCGGTTGGAAGCGACAGATTGCGCACGGCTGCGAGTGCGTTGCGTATCGGGGAGTTCCTCAACACCGTCTTGGGATTCGCTGGAGATGGAGTCTTCGGGCTCGGGGGCCTCGGTACGGTCGTATTCCACTTTATCCTCTGCAGGCGGCGCTGTAACCTGCTCCTGAATCTTGCGCATGAAAGCATCGGATTGGGCGGCGAACTTGCAACGGGTGCGGATCGCAGGTCCGTACTTGTAGAACAAGAATGGAAATGGCACGCATGCGAGAGCCAGGAAAGCCGGAATCGATGATGCCCAGTGGATACCCAGGTCCTGGTACATGTAGGTGGTGAAGAGAGGGAACGCGGCACCGAAGAGGGAACGGATGACGGAGTTGGCGGCTAGCACGGAGGCGGCGAAAATTGTGTAGGAGTCAATGAGGTAGTTCATAATGCTGAGGAAGACTAGGACCATTCCAAAGCCGAAGGGAACGCCAGCTGCAATACTGGCCATGAAGTGGATGGAGGGGTAATTGGTCCATGCGAACCAGAACAAGCCGATAGGAATGGCAACGGAGGCGAAGAGACAAGGCGGGAGACGTGCCTCTGGGGGTGCGAACCCATGGTGTTTGACGGATACACCGATATAGCGCTTGTTATCCCAGACAGAGTAGGCGACGGCAAACAACATGCCAATCATGATACCGAGGAATGCGAGACCACCAACACCCTGGTTCCAGCCACGGGACTGCTGGTAGACAATAGGGAAGGCGGCGAACATCATATATAAGGTGCCGTAAATGATAGCCATGTAGAGAGATAGCAGGAACACGATAGGCTCCCGGAACAAAAGGATCCAAGGACGCGAGAGTGCGATCTTGAAGGACTCCTTAAGAGTGGGTCTGCCTTGGTCGATATCAAGCTTACTCTGGTAAACCTGGCCCGACAACTTTGAGAGTCTCGCCGCACGGCGGCGGAGAAGCACAGGTGCATAGGTCTCGGGGATCAACAGACCACCAATGATCCAGACAGTACCTGAAAAGGCGGCAAGGAAACCCATGACCCATCGCCAACCACCGTCACTCATACCAATGAATCCACCCGCGATGGGGCCGATGATAGGGCCCAGGAAAGGCGCAGCTGCGAACATACTCATGGCGGTACCACGCTGCTGCGCGGGGAACAGGTCCGCAATGACACCACCGGCATTGGTCAAAGGCGAAGATCCAAAGGAACCAGCGAAGAATCGAAGAATGATAATGGTCCAGGAATTTTGAGCACCTGCAACACCGGCATTGAAAGCAGTAAGGGCGGCGTAGGTGCCGATGAACAGGACTTGACGGCCGAACAGCTCACTCAGTGGGGCCCAGAGCAATGGTCCGATCTATATGAAAACAAACAACGTTAGTATGCATTCATATCGGTTTTGCGTGAGAGCCAGCATCTAGATAATTTGTATCTTACCGCGAAACCGAGGACGAAAAGCGAAACGCCAAGAGTGGCAACCTCTTGGCCGATATTGAACTGCATTATGATCTCTTTAAGACCACCGGTATAGGCCGACGAAACCAGTGAAACAGCCAATGTTGCAACGGCCACCAACATGGTAAGAGTCCATTTCTTCACGCTACTGTAATTCATAGGATTGCGGGGGTCGTTGGGAATCCATGTTACTGCATAAGGGTCGTCTTCTGTTCCCGAACCGGGATATGGAAAATCGATAATCTCTTGCGTGACGACACCTTGGTCATAGACTGAGCGCCAGAATGGGATTTTCGTTGGCGCAGAGGGCTCGATCTTGTCTGAGGAATGAGGCTCCGAGTCTGCCATGGTGGGGCAGGTATTAGATTAGGAATTGCAATATGTAGATAGTATTTTCCGAGGTATATAAAAAAAAAGGGTGAAGTTGAAGCTTTTGTGGGTGGTCCAAGGAATGCCGAGGGAAAATAAGGACTAGACACCTCGGGAGCCTCTCAGTCATATATAAAGTCAATAATGTGTCCGCTATATGCAGATAAAGTGCAAAGTGGACTCTGGTAAGATAGGTGGGCCCCGGACCCGGACAAGGTGTCTGACCCGACGAAAAGTTCCAAGGTTGGCTGGACCTTTAGGTCTAGTTTTGTGCATATCTTTTGCCATTGATTTCATAGTGACTTCATATCCACATTACTTATACATATCTTATTAGTCTCTTCCCCAAGTAAAGTAACAGAGGTACCAATCGAACCGATTGAGTAGAGATGCACGGCTGATGCTCTGGAAGTGGAAGTAACCGAAATCTGTTTGCAGCCACGTTTTGCGCCACGTGATTTATGAAGGATTTATGTCCAGCCACTCGGGTATGCGGCATCGATCTGATTGGTTCATCTGGCCGTTCAGAACCCTTCGAATGTCCACGGGTATGTACCACTTCCTATTCTAGTCGTTTTCTAAGAAGTTTCAGGAGTTTCAGAAGTTATACATGGAACAGTCTCTTGCATAAAGTATGCCTTTCCTGCTTTTTTCTGCCGTGTATATCCAACATGGAAAGGAAGAGATCTTTGAGAAAAATAAACTAGCCCATCAAGACCGCCAAAAAAGCCCTATAAGAAAGACATAAGGCCGCATATATGGCCGTCTACTCTTGGATAATGTACACGTCCAATACAATCTCCATGAGTATCGGGCCATGCATAACCCTCAGACCTGCCCACATTCGGACATTCCGCCTTGGAGTACGTTAAGCTTCCCAACGGATCTAAAGCTCTGTGGATCGGCATATCTGAAATAATCTCCGGTGCACCTTCATAAATGGGGTTTATGACTCTTATGGCCGCCTAAACTCCATATATTGTGCACATACTTCGTACGTACTCCATGCCTATATGAAAAGCATTATTATTACCAATCCTCAGGGGCTTGTGCACACCTGCATAGTGGAGCTACTAGATGCAAAGCAAACTTTGCACCCTTTTCTGACTGCGCCCCCGTTAGATGCCCAGGATGAGATCAGGATGCAACTACAGCATAATTGGTCTTTGTACTTGTCTCGGGAATATCTTTGAAATTATCCCCGAGCTAGGCACCAACGTCGTGTTTTGCAGATATGTCATCAATATGCTAGTCAGGCCACCAGGGAGCACCCGCTGAGAAGGTGGCTCTATATTACCCATATCTATATCCTTATCTTTGAGAAAAGATGCATGTTGTATGGCCCAGACCACATGGGCCCATGTAAAACCATGGACTGGTATAACCAGGGCTATCACATTGGGCACGGACTCGAATAATGTAAACAAAGCTATCGCCAGCCCTGGATGAAAGGGTCTAGCTTCTGTGGTTAACAAGTGAATCCATGGATATATCCTGAAAAAAAAAAAAAAGAGAGAGAAAAATCTAGGCGAAGTAGGTGTATAAGAGGTGAGATCTCCGAGATTTGCCCGCCATTTGCTTGGTAAAACCACGGGTGGCTTGCAGGAAAAAAAAAAGAAAGGGAAACGGGAATCCAGTTAAATTCTACGGGCGCAAGCTAGAATTTTCCAAAGGTCTTGGCATTTTCTTTTCGCCTCAGGCCAGATACTGCATATGGATCCACTGAGAATGTATACATTTGCCACAAGAATATACGGCCCTGATCTTGGTACCCAAGATAGCTATACGTGTCATATGGTATTGGTAAATGCCGCTCAGCTTCAGCTACCTGAGTTCCTGATTTCAAAGCTCTTTCGGTTGGTTGAACAGTAAGATCAAAGAAACAAAACACGCGTCCAAGTCACTCTGTCTCCACTTAAAATCAGTATGACAGCTAGAATAGACGCCTAACCGCCAACATCTGGTTCAGCCCTGCAAGTACATAGCACCAAATAGATCACCTACTCAGGCATCCAGGTATCTATGACTCGCTGGCTGCTGGCGGTATCAGACCATAAATCTGCATTGTTGCAAGCAAGCTCCACTTGCCTCTCGTTTGATTGGGCTTGCTACGAGAGACAATGTATCCATCTAGTCTACTTCCTGGTCTAAGTTGAAGGCATGGTCATCTGATGTTAGCCTACACGGATAATCTTGATTGATTCGGCATTATACCTCGTGATCCGAAGACAAATGAGTCATTCTGATATTCCATAGTACAGAACTACCTTGTAAAGGTACCTACCTACTGCCCAGTTGTAGCCCTGCAGCCTTTGTGATGTGTTTAGCTCATTGTGACTCAATCCTAATTTTGATACAGGGGTTTGATTTGGAATGAGGTGCTTGTGTGGCGATTAGAGTGATGGTCTGATCGGGGTACCTAGGTTGTATGATGTAGTCTGATCAGTATGAACTAGTCGGAAACGTGAATTCAGGCTGCGTGCTGTTTGATCCCATGATCCTTTGAGTATATGTAATTATTGTGTCTTTGGACCCCAGGATTTGATTGGACACTTGCAAGTCCTACTAATTGGTGGGTCACCGTTGAGTCAATGTGAAGTCATAGTCGAGTCCCCGCCAAGTTACTACATTGGGTACTTTGGAAAGCAGTCAAGTCCTGAAGTTTCGGTGCCGAAAGGTAGCTCTCTAGTTGGTTCTTTTTTGTTTCTTCGAGTGGTCAAACTCTTTTCCAATCTCAAAAGTCCAACGTGAATGATCTTATTCTAGGAAGTCTCGCACTTAGGATGGCTTGTTGCGCAATATGATTCTTTCAAGATTCGGATAGGATAGCTTCACTTAGTTTCGTGTTGTTTGAGGGAAATAATATCTAGAGATGAAGCGATTTGTCATTGCTAGTCAAATAGTCTTTTGTCTCACTTCAAATGGTGTCGTTTGGCACTGGTATCAGGCCCGGGGTGTTCAGTTTGCATGAGGTCACAGGGCACCTTGCGGCCGAGTTTCGTCTGACGCTAGACGATTACTCAAAAAGAAACAAAGACAGAAGCAAGAACGAATCCCCACCAAAATCCGAACGGACCAGTAGCTACGAATGTGCACCACAAGGAATCAATTTACGGTTTACAGGGGGAAAAATTGGTGAATCATAGAGACAGCATTAAAGCGTCCTGTCATGAGATGATGCTCGCTAAGGCATCATGTTAGAGGGAAGCCCATAATGTACATGCCCATGACTGATCCATCAATCGATGGCGAGCAGTAGCATCGATAAAAAAGCAAAATTGCGTAGCAACCCGGTGCCGAAACCCATTGATATTTGAAAGCAAACCCATCATGTATCGCCAGTAGTCATGATAAAAAGATAAAAACAAACCCCATGATCGCCTTTCAGAAACCCAGCTCGTTGAAAATGAAAAATTACGAGCGCTCGCCACGGAGACGGCGGGCCAACTGGATGTCCTTGGACTGGATGGTGACACGCTTGGCGTGGATGGCGCACAGGTTGGTGTCCTCGAAGAGAGAGACGAGGTAGGCCTCAACGGACTCCTGAAGAGCACCGATGGCAGAGGACTGGAAGCGGAGATCGGACTTGAAGTCCTGGGCGATCTCACGAACCAGACGCTGGAAGGGGAGCTTGCGGATCAGAAGCTCAGTGGACTTCTGGTAGCGACGGATCTCACGGAGAGCGACGGTACCTGGAGGTGGAATGTTAGAATGTGTTACAATGTGATGGATGACTTGTCCGACGTGAGGAACTTACCGGGCTTGTAGCGGTGGGGCTTCTTGACACCTCCGGTAGAGGGAGCGGCCTTGCGAGCGGCCTTGGAAGCGAGCTGCTTACGGGGAGCCTTGCCACCAGTGGACTTACCTATTGAGGTAGTTAGTGAGATGTGTCTCAAAACGCGTTGGAACGCGTCACCATATCCTCTCTTGAGAGCAGATACCTGACTAATCAGGCATCGACAACAAGATCGGAAAAAGGTGAATTAAATATAATAAAAGAAATACTTACGGGCAGTCTGCTTGGTACGAGCCATCTTTGATGATAGACTTGATGTAAAAAGTGGTTTTGTTGATGAAAGAGTTGGTTGGCGGAGGATGAATGTAAAAGGGAAGAGAGAGGCGGGTGGGGGAAGAGTATTTGTAGCAGACGGGACGGGGGGAATTGATCTGGAAGGGGAGCCACGAATCAGGGGGGGAGTGAGCCGATCAGGATCAGTCAGGAAATCCAGTGCGTAAGACTGGGGACTCTGCGTAGCGTGTAGCCCACTGGTTTGCGGTGAGCTCTGATTGGTTGAGTCAGATCAAAGTGCTGGTACTGCCAACTAAGCGAGCTGTGAACCAATGAGAGTCCAGGATCAGGGAGTATAGAATGTCAAACCCTTGAATTCTTGATCTTGCTACCAACCTCCCTTGGATGGACAATTAATGCATTCTCATCTATTCACCACTCATTGGAATGTATAATTCTACCATTTTTATTATAGATTTACATTGTTGGTGGTGGATTATAGGAGGATCAAAGATAGACCACGCCAAAGTTGGCGTTCCGACTCTGGGGTCTCCCGGTAGATCAAGGTTGGTCTGTGATCCTGTCCTCTCATTGGTTGGCACTATCCCTAGCGCGTGATTTCCCAATCCTCGCTGATTCCCGTATCATACAAATATCCTCTGTCCACTTCTGTTTCCATTCCCTCTTTTTCCATCAATTCCATCGACAACCTCTCAACTACCAACTCTTCATCCCACTTCTACATCCTCCCCTTTTTTCTTTTAATCCATATTCAATATGTCTGGCCGTAAGTTTACCCCACATGTCTTCTGTTTCTTCAGGAACGCGTTCTAACGCGTCTCAATCTAGGCGGCAAGGGTGGAAAGGGTCTCGGCAAAGGTGGTGCCAAGCGTCACCGCAAGATTTTGCGTGACAACATTCAGGGAATCACCAAGCCCGCTATCCGTCGTCTCGCACGCCGTGGTGGTGTCAAGCGTATCTCCGCTATGATCTACGAGGAGACCCGTGGTGTCCTCAAGACCTTCCTCGAGGGTGTCATCCGTGACGCTGTTACCTACACTGAGCACGCCAAGCGCAAGACTGTCACTTCTCTTGACGTTGTCTACGCTCTCAAGCGCCAGGGCCGTAAGTTTCCACGTGTCTTTCCATTCCAAAACGCGTCTCTAACCTTCTTTTTCAGGTACCCTCTACGGTTTCGGTGGCTAAATTATTCATGCTTTTCTTTTCCGGGCTGGTTCACGGTACGATGGGACGTTGGGGTGTTCTCTGATTTATTTTACTACAATCATCATGGGTCTCTGGGTTTTGCTTTTCATAACACTCGATTACCACTATTGCGCGTCCATAGTGTTCGCTTCTGAGCTTTTCTGTATCATAGCAGCCTCTTCACTTTACGGCTGGCACCATGGACATGGTGGGATCAAGCACACAAGTGCGATCCGATACGAATACAATCAAAACTTGAAATAATTCAACTCTTGGGCTTGCGCGTAGTATACCCTCGGTGTATATGGCTTTATGGTTCGCCTTGTATTTGACCTCTTGTTCTCTGATGTTTGCGCTCGTGTGTGGGTGAGGTCTTCACGGCTGGGTTTGCCACACGTTGTGTTGACTGTCTGAGGCCTCTTGTCCGGTTTCCAATTTCAACCTCAACCGCCATGTATTGTATAATTTGATTATCTCTCTGTCTTATTGGCCCACCATGTCTCTTGTATGCCATCTATAACTGTCTATCTTGCCCTGTGTCATGCTATCGCTGAATTTTGGTAATCTGATGGTGTGCATGCAACTTCGGAATATCGTGTACGCATGTCTATACCATCTCTATCCATTCATTTCTTGTGGCTGACATTCAGTCTGTATACTCGGTCAATGTTAGTTAATACTTGCATGGCATAATAACTCGGTGTGGTTTGGAGTTGAAGACTCTTCAATCTTGTGTGTAGTTGTAGTAATCTATAGTCCAGATATATATTATTCCCAACAATGAACTGCACTCGCTACCAGTTAACACACCAAAGGCATAACCCCTGTAAAAACTGGTCACAAAGCAAATTAAACCATGGCAATCTATGAACTGCCCATATTAAAACACCGCAGACAAGCATTGTGGTGTGGTGAGCAAAAGAAATACAACTTGAAGTTGAAACCCTCAAAGCGGCAGTTCAACTTTACTTGGCAACGAGGCTGAACCCCCCAAAACAGCAGTTCAACATTGCTTGGCATTGGAGAGCGTGATTGATCCCGACACCCACAATCAAGTTGCGAATTTAAAAGTGTAGAATACGTTGGAAGTAGATTTAATGATGAATGTTATTTATAAAGCCTACTGAGAATTCCACTAAGCCCAGCAGAAGCCCATATTATCATCCGAAGACTGAATAGAACACCCTAAAATGAGGGTCCAAATAAAGCCGGGAAGCTGGGGCACCGAGGAGTGTCAAATCGTCAGCTCCTCGTCCGAACCCCCTATAAAAACACAAAAGGACATAGAGAGCGACGAATAATTGCAGAACGGTGACCGACTGGCCCTGCTAGATTGAAAGGAAGGCGTGACATGCAGGGCAGAAATGCAGGCCAAGCAGCCAAAGCAAACACCAACTTGCGCGAATATTGCTGCCACTAAAGGATGCATAAAAAAACACACTTAAATTGTTGCTCTCCCCACCACCCTCAACTCTAGCCCATCAACAGCCAAAGCCCACAAGAGAGTCGGAACCCGCCCGGGCTCACCACCATCCCGTCAATATGAAACCGAAGAAGAAATTATCCACAGTCAGAATTCAACAGATGACATCTGCAGTCAAGAGAAGGAGGAGCAAGGTCAGGATAAGAACCCCACAAATGGGCTATTTCGCGCCCTAGCAAGGTACCAGACACATCCGTAGAGACTGGAAAACACACTAACGATACAATAGTGTGCACCTGCATCCAAGATACAGCGACCTGACCATCACGTGCGGAGACGAGTACCCCGTGCACAAGTGCATAGTTTGCCCACGATCAGCCTTCTTTGCCAAAGCTTGTGATAGTGGGTTGCAGGCGAGACAGTGAAGGGACAGAACAATACACCAGCGGCAACCCAGCTGACTCAATCAGGGTATCATCCACAAACAGAATTGCACTACAGGAAGAACCGCTTCTGGTCAAAGGCATGGTCGAGTATCTCTATCAGCTGGACTACGAGGTACGACCTCACTGCCCAGAAACAGACGCTTCTATCGGCCTAGACGATTGGACATTGGACACGGACACAGAAATGGACAGCACAGAAGCTCCCAGTGAATTGACTGGAGGTCTAGTGACCACAGTAGATACAATATCGGTACACATATTGATGTATTCCCTCACAGACCGAATGTTCATCGAAGGACTTAAGGTTCTTTCAAAGGAAAAAGTCGAGCAAGAGCTGGGCAAGCGACTGAACTAGAAAATATTGCCCCATGACATTGCTCAGATATACAGCTCAACGCCAGCAAGCGACAGAGGTCTGCGAGACATGGCTATCAAAATGACCATGGAGAATCTCAAGGAGCTGAAAATGCCCAAAGTGGAGCCCGGACAAGAAAAGAGATCATCGGCATTCCCAAACAGCCTGGTGCCCACAATTCTCCTCTAATTTTGCTATGAAAATAATGGAGAAGGCTGTATCGCATTGAAATTGCTATGGTGCATGCAACGTGTAACAAAAATTCGCAAAGCCCGTGTTTATAGATTCGAAGAGAGACACCGGTTTGTTGAAATGACACTAGCTAGAGATGAGCCAAAAGATTGGCCTTTTTCCACCCCAATTACAACGGAAGAGACATGATACAAACAGTAGATACAGACATCCAGAGTATGCACCAGATGATGAGCCCCCAATCTCACATACCGAGACCCACAAGAGGATATCGGACGAACAGAGCACCTACCATGTGTGAGCTAACCTGTCAGTCTTGATACTCCAAGATACTCCATCACCACAACCACGACTTACAATCAAATTCACCGTCCCCACCACCAAAAACATCGAAGATGCCAAGCAGACAACAAGGAAAAAAAGGATGGAACCAAGAGCGAGACTGAGATAGAGCACTGGCGGTGTCACTTCGGCAACATGGACTCGACTACTGAGATTATTGAAGGCCAACCTTGACTGCCTTGATAAATACACAGCGCAATGATCATTAAAGACTCGCAGATCCGAATCCAGACAGACCTAATATCGACCCTACCAACCCGAGATAACCCTACGGTCCCTACTAACATCCAAGTCGCCTCTCCCTACCAGTACTGACAGGATTTCACCCCCCCTCCAGCCGGCCCCCAGCGCACGAGATAGTTCTCACCTTATCCGACCGACTATTGTCAAAACTCTACACTGAGTCCTGACAATCTCAGGTCCCCCCAGAAACGAGTCCTGATTGTTGCAAACGAATACGCGGGTTGGTAAGAAACCTGACCAAAAACGACATTATGAATGGTTAATGGACGTTGGATCAAGATGCTAGAGGAATGTCCAGGAACACATATTTGGACATGGCCTTCGTGGTCAACAGGGCAAGTGACCGGACAACCACCCGAACGAGGTTGCTTAATACCGAGGATTATTACGATGGGATCAGCGGTTCTCTCAAGCGTGCAAGGCAGGAGCATGCCGTGCTGCATTATATACGATTGATTCGACATGATGCCTGCCCTTGGACACCAGCCTGTATCTCGACTGTCCGGCGCTGAACCAGCCAACAAGTTCTGCAACAAAGCTGGGTCCTGAAGTTTGCAGGCCTGAGAAAGCCACAACACAACCAACAGCTAGGCCCGTGGTGAAAAATGACATGATTTCTGTCGACATGGACCACGTATCCTTGTCTTTCATGTGAGGGCGTACGGATGATGTGATATTGGACGAGATCGAGACTTATCTGGATGGCCTCACCATTATTGAGCCCAACATCTAGAAAGCCATGAGCCTGTCTCTTTTGTCGTTGGAAAGCACAGTTTGTGCCAAGAGTGGCCTGGCCCATATATTTTAAGCTGGTCCCAAGGGAGTCGTCCTTGTTTATACGGGAAGCGATAAACTCGACAAGTGACGGCAGAGGATTGAATCAAGAGAACTATCTTTGTGAATTTACAGAAGCTGGTCACTTCACCACAGCTGATGTCAGATATCGGACCGGACTTGATAGAATTTAACCCCACAATATTTGATGATGAGAATGACGAATCAATATGATTTATTGATTCAGGTATCTCTATGAGAATTAGACTGAGAGAGAGGGAGAAAAAAAAAAAAAGAAAGAAATAATAGGACACTGGGATCCTATTCATCCTGCTAAAATGTGGTTCCATGTTCTATCGTTTGCTATACTTGATCTGTATTCTGTATTTGGCATATGGATGCCTATGATATCTGACAACATTTCATCTCAACCCATCCGGCTACGCAAATATAGTAAGTTGTCAACTTTCATCGTCCTGACTTCTTCACTACCTTATTCATATTGCATCATGCGTTTTGAGGTCTCCTCTGACACATCTCCAGCCATGAGTTCTTTTTGTATGATAGAAGAGACATCAATGGGCTATATGATCATGTGTATGTGGTCTCGATTCTCCCCTATGTGGATCGAATTCACAAGTCCTCAATACGGGCACGCAAGCCACGTTGTTGATCACAAATATAGATAGGCCATGACGAATCATGAACCACGTCACCAGGGAACAAATGGCCACTGTCGTAAATAGTGGTGCCATACGAAGTACCTGGCGTCGCAGTGCCCTTTGCAGATGTAGCCTAAAAATTACGCTATGCAAAGCCATCGCACCAAAAATAAACACAGCGCGCGCCAATACTGAATGCGTGCAAAATTGAGAAGAAGAAAATCATAATGATGATATGAAAAAAAAAAAAAAAAAAAAGAATAGACATAGCATGTCCTGGTTTCGATCCAGGGTCCTCCGGGTTATGAGCCCGGCGCTCTTCCCCTGAGCTAACATGCTGGGATGTTGAAGACAGGCATTCTTTTTGACTATATATCCCAACACCATTCCGGTCCAAAACACACTAAGCAGCTAGACCCTCATCAGATTGTACACACTAGTTCGAGTCCACGAGAGCAGGGTCTTAATTGGGTACGTGTTGTGGGATCTTAGTAAGATATTATGACATATTATACATGCCCATTATACAAGGACTTTTGATTGGATTGGATATGATAAGTTCTACAGCATATCTCACGGGCAATATGCTTCACATTGAGATAGACAGAAAAGACACATTTTAGTCATTTTATTACCTCGAAATATAATTACGTATGCGGTATACCGACATAATAGCCCCAGAAACTTGGATATCGGGATATTATACCCCAAGCTATCGGATCTAGGGATTAAACTTGTTTGCGAGTAGACGCCACAATGTCCTGTAGGCTGTATCTAGCTTCTCTACCCTGTTTAGGAATACCGATGCCTTGCAGCTTGCTGCCTTGTTCTTGGGACACCGTCCTGCAGCCCAAGTTCATGAGTCTATTGCTATCTATGGGGTCTAGATTGACACTGCTGCATAATTCTATTGTCTGTGCTAAGATGATCTCATTGTAATTATATTATCTTGTGTCACCGATAAACACGGTGCGGGAGCGACTCTTATCATCTAAACGGAGTGCGTACCGCCATCTTGCTTCAAATGCTCCGTACGTAGCGGTTGAGTTCCCGTCTATCCCAATGGCCAATTAGCTAAGATACTCTTAAGGGACCGCCAAAGGAACCACCACAAGGGACAGAACTGGAGGCTGAGTCACGGTGTGCTTGGTCATCTATGGGCTCCTGCTTCCGATTTTATACAGTACAGGCATCATACCACCAGACATATCCGCAGGTATATTTACTATAGTACTATCAGAGACATGTGGCGTTCCGGAATGAAGAGATAGATCGTGGGCGGCTTATAAAAAGCTATAGCTACATCCAAATAGGCAACCGAGTAAGGCAGCTGCCAGCCATTGTTGTCATAAGTTGCATAGCCACGAATCTTCTCCAAACAAAACTCCTCGAAGCCTCTTTTCTGAAAATTTCTGACTTGAGATGACGAAGCATGCTCCGTATAGTACCTATATACGGCTAGCCCCAATGATCTACAGCACACACGTGACAGCACATTGAAGTTGCCCAGGCGTGAGTCAGAACAATTAGTCAGTATTGAAATTAGTCAGTATTGAATTGGTCATTTTTGGTGACGCTGAATGATATCGGGATGATCAATAATCAGCCACAATCAGATATGCAATGCGAAAAAATAGCGAGAAAAAGCGAAAAAAAAGCGATGAGAGACTTGAATACGAATGCGAAAACAGGAGCATTGTCCTCCAATGTCGGCGATGCCCGGACGCCGACATTCCGGGACGAAAATAGAAAGCTTCCAGAAGAACGAAAACAACCACGCTTTACTGAATATAGCACTAGTGGCATGCACAAGCCACCGAAATTCCTTCTGGAACATACCAGAAATACCGAATACGATTACCTACAGGCTGTGGCTGCAGCAAGTGCCGTATGGTAACAGGTTAAACCGGCAACTTGGACGGCGTAACGGCAGTACCGAGATGTGGCTGTGTACCCCTAGCTCCTATGGCCAATCATTTACATTGAAAAACTTTTCACTGCTGCATGAGACTGCTACTAAAAATGAACCTACATGACAATCTCGACCTGTCGCCGAGAAACCCGTTTAGAGTGCTGACAGATTTTTTTTTGGTCGGGATAGCATGCCGGTGAAAATTTTTTCTCCGTGATCTTCTCAGTCACTATGCAGGGGCCCTCTCTTGGTAATGAATAATGAAAGGATTCGATGCCTGCCCAATTGAGAAAGATGTTCTGTGTATTCTAAAAAGGATGCCTTCGGTACGCGAATCCGTCCTCTGATAGCGACTGAAAAAAACCTTGAATCTACACATTCCCACTATAATCTGAGTGGGCCATTGGATCTAAATACTTTGATCAGCTGAGGCTGGTTTGCCACTTCCCCGGACTCTGTAGGCCACGTTTTGGTGTAGCCTCGAGGAATTCGCCAAGATCTTTCCCGGGTCTGTCCACGGAAAAAGGCAGATAAGGTGAAGGGCCAGACTGTTCGGTAGGCACGGCTGACCCCGGACCCGTTTCGGGGTGTCCAGACCGAGAAAATCACCTAACCCCGAGAACTTGCCGGTCGGATTTACATTTACGCTAGTGAACATGAAGGGGAGATCCCTTGGGAGGTCACATGGCACTTCGACTATCGTATTGTTGCTGCCTCCTGTTTTCATGCCCAATAACTTAGCTGGAAAAGTCGGGGTTTGCCGATGCTCGGTTAGGGAGGCCCTTGATCTGCGATCTGATACTCTGGCATTTAGGGTCTAAGCCATATGCATATGCACGGTTGAAGGATGAAAACGCTAAATCAGAAAATTTCAATGTAACCCGCAGTACATGGCATTTTTACCACGCTACTGAAGGTCTTCCGCGTGCTACAAAGCCGCTAACAGATGAATCTATAGCGATCCGAGCGCCAGAGACTGAAAATTTGAAAATACTGAAATTAGAAACTGATGTTGTAATTGAATATAGAATTTTATTCTCACTTTCTGAGTCAAAGAGAGAAACATATGATTCACATGTGACCGAGTCATCGAATCATCGAACAATGCATACCAGAAAATTAAGGCAATCAGCCCACAGTACAAGCGATAGTAAAAAAGACCATGTGACCGTGATCTTAGATACGCATTCTTGTGTAGCCCGACAATGATCAACTCAAAGTGGGCATTCCCCGCCGAGCCTACGGCAGAGCTAAGTCCCGTAGAGACAAGCGCTTACACAAGGGGAACAAGTGTAAGACATGGAAAGTATACACGATATCACTTCGCTTAAGATGGAAGAAAAAAAAATACTGGTGACTCAAGATCCGGGGTCAGCTGGTCATCAAGTTCCCATACACAGACAAGATCCATGGACCCGTGTCCAACTTCAGCTTATCATGCCATTATGTGTATGGTCAGCTGACTATCGCGTCTGTCGAACGAGAGCGGAACCCGCCGATTGACGCGTAGTGGGGAGACATCTTAGGAGAATCGGAAGACAGTTGCGAGACAAGTGCTTCACAGCCACAATCTTGGTTCTCGAGTGAAAGAATTGGGTCTGTGTCCAAAGAATGAAGAATATGCTAAGGTTTCCCCAGGTGTTGTGCAGGAATGCTACACCGTTAGGACGGCGGATCCGAACCATTGGGCACCAGCCACATGGCTCTCGATGTGGCTAGTGTCAATAAAGAAACCTCGGTAGTCCGTTGAGCTAGACGAATGATAATATTCGGCTGAACAACTCTCCGGGTCCCAATTCCATATTCCTGGATCTTTTAATGAATTCTGACTCACCGGAAATCGTAGATTGGGCCGAAGGGTCAATCCCCAACCAAAATTTCCTCACCAAAATAGGTAAAACAAACTAAGGTGTGGCTCAGCCCTATCTAAGGACTGATTTCTCCTCGGCAGCTCCACCCCCATTTTCCTAATTTTGGCCCTGGTCACCCGAGTGCAAATCGGAGCTAGTCCTAGACTATAGTAGTTTTTTCTTTTTCTTTTTCTTTTTTTTTTTCAAAATTTCTTTGCTCTCTAAGCGATGTACTGTAAACCTTGGCTGAATCATTTGTTCAGAAATTTCTCTCCAAAAAGACTCTCCAATCATATTTATTTAGATGAACAATTACCATTGACGCCCAAAAGCCCACATAGAGTATCGGTATGGTGGATCCTTGTGGCTTCTGTGTGCTGTAAGCCACAACTTCACAAAGGAAAAAGTATAGGAAGATCCCCAGGTCAGATCAGTGGGACTCGGTAAAAAAAGGCGTATTTTGGTGATACGAACCCAGTCCCGATTCGGACTAGTGCTGGAATCGACAACAATTAAAAATAATTATTTTTTAAAATACCGCTAATGTCTATAATACGGTAATAATATTGTTCGGGGAAGCCCGACTATAGTATGTGAGGTCATCTAACCTTGTACATAAAAACTCCAGGACTCTTCTTTATTAACTCACTTCTCCCTCCTTTCAACTTCATTACTCATACCCACAACAACTCTGACTCTTGAGATCATCATATCGAGTAAGATTTGCTTTCCTCCGGTCGAGTCATTCTCCAGAACCAAACTCACATCAACCATAGTCAACTCTATTAAAGTTCCAGCCCTCTGATACTTCCATCGATCAGCCTCCCGACGTTTCCAGACTCTTCGCTACCTGAGGCTTTGAACCAAAGTGTCAATCTCACACTTCCCCAAGCGCACGGCCACAATTGACCAGGAAATCTTAATCGGATCTTGTGCCGTCGGGTTCTATAAAAGCCCGCTTTCCTCGGTGGCGAACACTACCCACTTTCTCTCTGACGTCCCAAACCGTGATAACATAATGCTTATGTACCCACGTAAGGGTCTCATCACCGATCCATACAACTCAGAGGACATCATCATACAAGACGACCAGTATCCACCTGATTTTTATCCCGAGAACGCCTTTCACTACGCTCAATCTCGCTTGCAATCACCATTCCAGTGTCACCCCAGTGTACAGCTCTCTCCGCCATCTTCCACACCTTCCTCGCCTACTTTCTCCTCTCCGACCTTCTCGACTTGTTACCCGACGTCTGACTCACAATCTTTCGGGGCTCCTTCGATGACCCCAGCGTCTTCATATAACCCGTCGTACGACATTCAGGGTTCTAATTCGCCTTCTCACCAATTGTCTCAATATCCTCAGCAATTTTATTCTCCCATGTTGGTACAGCAGCCTCTCGCCGGTAATCAGGGTTGGGACAGCAACCTGCAGTTGTTGAGCCCTGCGCGCATCCCATACCCAGGGGTGCAAAAGAGATCCTCGCCCTCGGCATCCTCACGCCCACTCCCTTCAGGGGTGTCAGCCAACAACTACCACCGCCGTTCCAACAGCGCCAATAAGCCGTTCCCCAGTCCGGTGCAAACCCCTCTCCAGAACTCATTTCTTGCGACTCCCTTTCAACATTTTGATCCCTCGTCCCAAGATGGCCACAGCGCCGAGGCTGAGTCTGCTATGAGAAAAGCGATTATGGATCAGCAGAAGCAGTCGCCTCCGCAGCAAATGCAGAACGACTACTCACTAGCCCCATCGGTGTCAACAATGAGCCATAACTCGCCGGTGACCCCGCAGACTACCCTTGACGAATTTGACGACGCATCCAAGTCGATGAGCAATGGTGAGAATGGAATTCCCGATATCAATTGGGCAATGGACCAATACTTACGCTATGATGCACCTCCAGACTATAATGGTGCCAATAATGCTCTGCCAATTGGAGTCCCTCCGCTGAACAGAACCATTTCCGATATATACCAAGACGAATTATATAACCCTGCCATCATGGCAGCGCCCCAGGTGTCCAAGCCGATGGGACAGAACAACCTCAACCCACGCAATTTTATTGCCGATCGCCTCCACGCTGCCAACCAGGGACACTTGTCTGCTCGTTCGCAATCGCCCTCCGGCAGACGGGATCGCTCGCCCTTCCGTACCTCTTCCCCATTCGCCGGTGATATAAACAACAATACTCTCCAACAGCCCCAGATGGCGACCAGCATTCCCATGGGACAGAGCGGTATGAACAGTATGAACGGAATGAATATGGACCAGAGCAACACGGGAGATATCAAGACGATGTCACCTAAGGACGCAGTCTTGGATTTCCAAGATGGCGATGATACCATGCCTATGTTCCCTCATGGTCAGGGTGATTTCAATTTGGGTGATGCACTCGGCTTGCGACGCGACAGTGCCTCAATGCGACCGATGGAAACATTCCCTCAATATACGGCACCCACTATGGCGCAGCCACCGTTCGCATTTTCTGAACCTCAGATGCATCGCCCTCAGAGCAATCTCCTGCAGCAGAGTACCGAATTCCCTTCACTTCCAGCAGTGGAATCGACCGAGAGCTCGCCCCCAAGCCAGATGAATATGCCAATCACAGAGAGTATTCCTCGTCCCGCCGACACATCTTCCGATGCGGGTACTTACACTTGTACCTACCACAACTGCTCCTACCGTTTCGACACCCCCTCCAGACTTCAGCGACACAAGCGCGAGGCTCACCGGCAAACAACACCGGGCGGCCACCTTGTCAGCCGGGACACTTCGCTCCGCAACTCCCAGGCTGGCCCGCACAAGTGCGAGCGCATCAATCCGTCTACAGGCAAACCATGCAATTCAATCTTCTCCCGGCCTTACGATCTTACGCGACACGAGCATACCATCCACACCGCCGGGAAGCAGAAGGTGCGCTGTCATATCTGTAACGAGGACAAAACCTTCAGCCGAAACGACGCTTTGACAAGACGTAAGTTTCTTTTTTTTCCCCTTTACCCCTTAAGTTGATCATACGCTAATTACAATAATTACAGACATGCGAGTGGTTCATCCCGAAATCGACTGGCCAGGCAAGCAGCGCAGGAGGAGAGACTGAGAGCGCCAATTACGTCATTAGTCCACCGGATCGGCATGCCGAACGTCATAGGTGGATCCACTTGGGCTCCACCAAAAATCCGGGGCTTCGTCATCATGACGATTCAGCTCCTTAAACCTCATGAACACTCTGTATCACTATCCGATTTTATTATGTGTACGATTTTACGTTGATGATTTGATTTACATGCGAACCCCCTTTTAGCATTGGACGGTGTGTTTTCTTATGTTTTCATTTATTGTTTTTCTGTCTCTGGCTTTGGCTCTGGGAAACAAACAGCTTTGGTGTTGTACATTTCTGTTGTACATGGTGTTGCTGCATTTTTGACCCCAGTACTCCGCACAGTGTGTCCTCTTGTACTATAGTACATTCCTCCAAAAAAAAATGTATATTAACTTTGGATACGACATGAATCTACTTGGAAATAATCGTTCTCTCCACACTTTACTATATCTCTGGAAACGGTGAAACATGCCCTCTCCTGTCCCTTGAAACAATCAAGGGTCGAAGGATGAGGTCGAATCCCTCGCATCCACAGTCGCATGGATGTTTAGCCACTTAGATCAGCCATGTTAGCTCCTCAACGCCGATCTCTTAGATAGAGTCACTATGTATAGCAATCACACAAGTACATCTTGTACCAATGTATCTTGTATATTGTTGTAGACTAATTAAAGTTGACCAAAATACCCAAGTATGCACCACGCGCAAGGTTATTGTATATTCCAGAATGGACCAACTAAATTAACATCCGCACGGACGAGTCCCGATTCGTGCTGATCGTACATTGTACTCCGTAGCCCCAACAATGGCATCTACCTATGAATATCTTGTACACAAGTATTCCAATTTAGGTATGATACCACGATTGCGTAGTCTCGTCCGAGAAAGCCTTGGAACAAACCCGGCCTCACCCAAATTCTGGCCTGATAAGCAATTTAGCTACCAATATCCCGGTCCCGGGTACCCGGCACCGGCATTGTTTGGGTGGAATGTACTTGGAATCTGGGTTGGGTCTTGGGGTGTCGACGTAATATACAATGGAGCAGGGTCCTAACTTGGATTTCAGGGTTTCGATCATGTCCATATCGATGTCCATGTCCAAGTAATGGAATTACTTATTTGGGTATATGATTTGTACAGGACTGTCCCAGTTTCCTATCCTTGAGCGGGTACGTATCTCGTGTCTTTTTGTCGTCATCAGATCCTGCTCAAGCCGAATATATTTTCAATTTATCCTTGTCTGCAGTTGGGGGGTATCTCTTATGCTTATCATATACCAGATCCAATAAGCCACCGTATATACACATCTTGCTGACATACGTTGTACAATCGATGATGGAGACGGTGATATACATTGGTGGGTCAGTGGCTTAAAATACTGTGGATCCTTAATACCCGAGTGGGGGAAGTCGGAAGGTGGGGAGACAATTGTGGATGTGGAAACTTCTTTTGTCTAACTTATGATCGTCCTGGTATCGTACGGGTGTGACAAGTGGCTTCTGTCCGATTCACCATTTCGAGTTGTGACGATATCCCTTGCGTGGTCGCATAGGGGTCATATGAGATATAGCACGTGATGCGGTATGGTCCTTACCAGTACGTAGTGGACACTCAAGACTCCGTACAGGCAATATTGGAAAAATAATTGACCATAGCACACCAGCCACAGAATACTCCCAATGCCAAGTTCAGTTCTCAACCTGCCCATCCTCCCTGAATTCGAGTGCACGCCCCGCATTCCACCTGATGCAAGTGTACTCAACGTCTGCAGATGCCGACCAAAGATAGACGCCCATACCATTGTACACATATACATGTTCTGGCCGGCTACAGACAACTATGGGACTATGCAACCTCATGTAGTGTAGCCTCACATGAGGTCGATATGAAGAAAAATCCCGTCGATCTTCTGTAGCTTGTGTGTGGGCGGAAAACATGTATGCTCAAGGGACTAGGTATCTGCTTTGCAGTAGCCATGCGTGCTAAATGCGAGTGTCAAGTGTATGCCAGACTTTGAAAAGCCATTTCCACTTGTAGGCAGTACTTTGGACAGTTTCCCTCATATATCATTTTGCATCAGAGCTTGCACGCTAACATCAACCTACTACGCCAGGAGTAGACGGCCGCTTATGTGGTCTTGCGGTGACTTACAAGGCTCTTAATTAGTCTTTTCTGTTGGCCTCTCGGATATTCTTCTCAAACAATTTCAAGATTGTTTGCCCCTTTCCAGTATTGTTGGTAGGCAACAGAAAATAGCGGGAAAACATATCATGAACTTTGTGTAAGAGACTCTTTTTATGGAACCGTTTACAGGCGCTGCATGAGATTGGGTATCCTATAGATCTTTGTCATCAGAGCATCTGGTATTGACACTATGTTCCCTTGGATCCCTGGCTCTTCCCGGCCATTGAATGCATATTGTTCTTGCTGTGTGTATCGATCACGTTTTTATGGCCAAGTTGACGTTCTTGATATTCGTCACAATCTGACCTCTGTGAGTATTCCAAAGTTTTGACTGCGGTTCTAATCATCTTGGTCCTGATAGGTCATCCTCAAAGATGAGATCTTTTACTGTCCTACAGACTCATATCGTCCTCTACTCTTCCCTTTGTCGACGCCTCAGATCTCTCTTTACTTTACCTATCTTTGCTTGGTCTGCACAAATTCGTTCTAGTGGTCTGGGTTGTCTATTTCTCTGCAATTTTCGAAACCTTGAAATGTCTGCGGAATGTAGAGACTGCACATGTCTGGTGGAGGGATACGATGAATGTCTCTGTAGATTTTGCAATCGATGCGGGAGGCTTGGTCATACGTCTATTCACTGCAGAGGAAATCATCATGAGGGACGAAGTGGAGGGTACCTACGGGGTTCAGACCCTACAAAATTTATGCCGATCAATGACCTGGATTGCATTGACAATCAGCTCGAAGTATGTGTCATATCATTCTTATCTCTTTCTTCATGCTTGTGCTGACTGAAGAGGCCATGTCTCATGATTCATCCAAAGCACCAATGACCATACCGCAAGTGGTAAATGAATCAAAGAATGACTACTCGCCACAGAGATCAGCCAGCTGTGGGATCACAAACCCCAAGCGACGAAACTGGAGTGAGGTGTCCGGTGATCGAATTGAGACCCTAAATCTAGGTCGTTGATCGGACTTCCATCTTGGAGCATGTAATTTCAAAAGTGCGCCTCGAAATGAGCGAGAGGTACTCTTCAGTGCTCAAGGAGTATGATATTGCGAAAATACTCGAAGACATTCTGAGCCCAGCCGTCAAAGAAGTGTGTGAACAAGGCAAATTTGATCTGATCAGGCATGTTAAAGCTTGACGATTTGAAGATACCTAATTAACTATTCTTTCATTAAGTCTCTTGGAAATTGGACAAGACCCAGAAACGAAGAGAGAAGCTGGTGTGTATCTTCACATTCTATGGAAAGAAGACGAAACCACAGAAAGATTCTGGCTCTATGTCGGACAAGCATGTGTGCTGTGTCTAGGAATACATAAACACAAACATTCTAAACATCGTTGGAAGAATATGGGGTTATACTACGCAGTGTGGGGCTCTGCCGTGAATATGAACTCAGCCTTTGTCACTCTGGCTATCCTTGATACTCCATCTTCCACTCAAACGCAGCTGATTATCAACCTGGCAGAGATGTGGATGTGTCTGGTATTCCAACCGCTGACCTCCATTCACCTATACGCCTGATTGCCGAAAAACACGAATGCTATGTGATCGGGCAATCATCTCAACGTTGCATTGCCATTATGGCAAGGGTTCGCGGATACCCAAGAGAACAAAGCTATCACTGACGCAATTGGCGGCAGATCTACAGTTCAGCAATACCCTGCATCTGAAGATCCAGTTATTCGAGCATGGGCAGAGCAAACCAGAGATGCGTTCAACGATATACGAAACTCGTCTGACCCAGGGATCAGAAATTACTGGTGGGATCTTCACAAAATGCGTATTATCAAGACACAGGAGACCTGGGGCAAAAAGAAAGCCAGCGTGGCTAAGCAGCACCTTGAAGGGGCCAAAGCTCTCGTGAATTTGTATTCTGGGAATCATGGAGACCACCAAACTGAAGTCAGAACTGGTAGTTTCAGGTTCACTGTTTCGAAGATATTCGGGCTTAATCTCCATCATGGCGACGAAGTCATTCTCCAATACCATCTGACCTCGACTCCACACCCACATACTTATGTTGTTTCTGCTTTGAAAACAGATCCTGCTGCCCGCTTAGGGGTTTCCATCCACGGTAAGGATGTTTATGGGGGTTTTAACTGCTGGTTGAAAGCGGCTGGAGAGTGCAATTTACGAAAAATGAACTCGCTCGTGGATATTTTACAAGGCTTTTTACCAGAAGACAGTCGAGGGTTCAAGAGACGCTGGTTTTTACCAAATCTTCTAAGAAGCTCAACAGTTGTCTTCCAGGAAGGAACAAATACACCTGATGTTACAATACTGGAACCTTCATAATTCAGAGCTGGTTTGTAAAAGCCAAAGAATTCTTAGTCATGCCCAAGTTTGATATTTCTCGTACCAAATCAGTGTAGTATATCCTTTATGTCATGCCTGCTGCCTCGTGAGATTATATACTGAGGGCTTGAACTTAGGGCTTGGGACCTGTTAGACCAGATAACTCGACATACAATGACTTAATTGTGACACAAACAATGCCAGAGCATGTATGTCAGAGTAAACTTCGAAGGTCTTGCGGACGACCTGCAATTTAATGGGGTTTATTGGGTCAAAGGGAATCCTGAGGGTTTGGAATATTCACACATAAAACAAAAGCAAGAATAGGAGAAACAAAAAAAAGATAGACATAGCATGTCCTGGTTTCGATCCAGGGTCCTCCGGGTTATGAGCCCGGCGCTCTTCCCCTGAGCTAACATGCTGATTGGTGGAAGAATTCTTCTACTAGAGTTATATAAACTAATGGAGAGAGCGTATCTAAGCTAAAGGGGTAGCAGCAGTAAATTAGTAGGGCGCTTTCTTCGAAATTGATACACAGTAAAAATATCAGTACTGCTTTTTGATAGTAAAGTAAGATTGGATAGAAGAAGAGCATAGCTAGAACTAAGAAATATAGAGTCGGGAAACGTCAAGCGCATAAGGAAGAGGAGCTATGAAAAGTTATATGTAGAAAAGTCGCTTGCACAGAGAATGCTTTTTTCGTGTTTTCCTGCCGTCCACATCAAATAAAAGACTGGAAATGGGATCCTGCACATATTAAAAAGAGAAGAAAAACACCCCCAAGAAATGCTGGGAACCCCTCTGGAAGGACCTCTGAAAAGACCTGGAAGGCATCGTAAGGCCGCATAAGCGGCCGTCTACTCCGAGTCGACAGTTGACCTGACCTGTGTGCCATTAGTTCACCTGACCGGTGTCCCACCTAAATCACGTGACCTTTACACAGGTCAGGTCAACTCGCCTATCGGTGATTATTAATGGTTTTTGTATTACAACCTTCCAAGGTTAGAATCCATCCTTAGATAGTTATAATAAACTACCTACTTAGATATCATTATTAAGTAAACGCATTATTAAGTCGTTATTAATGCGTTATTAAGGTGTTATTAAGATATTAATATAAAGTCATACCCTTATAAAGGTATTTTTTAAAATACACATTTACTATAATACTATTAGATAGGTATTAATATGTATTAAATACAAATTGTAGGAGCTGACCTGACCGGTGTAGATAAGATAAGAAAATGTCACGTGATTTAGGTGGGACACAGGTCAGATGAACTAACGGCACACAGGTCAGGTGAACTGCGTCCTGGTCTAGTCCTGTATGTTATGAGCTACTTAAAAACAAATAATGAAGATAATGTGATCTGCCAATAGGAGGACTGGATCCTTTTTCACCGCTGCCCTACTGGTGTAGACTAGCATGTCTGAGATAATTGCTTCTTCTTATCATCTTTGTTTCTTCCTAGGGAACTATTATGAGTATTGATCCTCTTGAGAAAAATTTGCAGTATATATGTGGTATAGTGGATGGACATTCAACATCCCAGCATGTTAGCTCAGGGGAAGAGCGCCGGGCTCATAACCCGGAGGACCCTGGATCGAAACCAGGACATGCTATGTCTATCTTTTTTTTTTTTTTTTGTATTTTTACTTCCCAGTACATCTTTTTTGGCCTTTATGAATCTGAATTCCTATTAAGTTTCACCTTTGGTATTATATATATTATTACACGGTGATTCCTACCTCTTTTTCCCGGTTTTTCTATAGGTTCCAGACCGCAAGCATGGCTCTGCCAGACGATTCAAGTATTATATTAAGCATGTGCTCAATATATATCACGTACTACCGATATATCTATGTGCTTTTGTGGTACATAATGGTGAATTTCTATGATAAACTAATGGCTCAAGTCCACGGAGAGGACTGTGATCCCTCGCAAATGACTGTAATAAAGAGGTTCAGTACTCCGTATGCTTGGTCGACAATAGCCCTGCATCTTCGGAGCCAATGCCAAGCTGCTCTGCCCAGCTAGGTCCCCGTGGTTCAGGTGCATGCAGACATCACTCGATCTCACTACTCACTGTATTTACTAACGTACTGTTCGAATAAAATCCTGCTCATGCCATGGTATAAATGTCTGCTGCCTCAGGCCATCGACTAGTCAAAGCTCTACCAGCAATGCTTAGACATGATGGAAGTACTTGATCTACATGCTTTATTACCATCAGTACATATAGTGTTGCGCTTTCCTCCCACATATCCTTGATTCGATTTCTCCCCAACTCGCTTTAATTTCGAGATACAACAATGCCAACTCGCCAATATGTCGCTGATCAAACTGGGGGAGGGGTCCTCAAAGTGGGGGCGGAAATATCCAAACAGCCGGAGTCTCCTATCTGGAATTCATATCCATCAAAGAAACGTAAAACCACTCAACCCCTAATTTATTTCACAAACATACATAAATACCCATAGGCCTATGAATCTGGATATACCCAAACAGCAAAAATAGCCCGCACCGCGAGGAAGAAGAAAAAGGAGAAAAAAAGAGGTTCAGCCAGCCTCAAACCATTCACCAACCAACCCCGACCCAACCCAACAAACCACCATATAGAGACAAAATGGGTCAAAAAGCCTCCGTTCCACAGCCAGGCGCACATATACAAGTCATTGGCGCCGGGCTACCACGCACAGGAACCACATCATTCACCCAAGCGCTCGAAATTCTCCTGAACGGACCGGTGTACCACTGCGGCACACAAATATCGAAAGGGCCACCAAAAGAAATAAAAAGCTGGATGCCAATTCTGCAAAACTGGCTCAAAAAAGACGACAGCACAAGTCGGGAAAAGATGCTCACTCTTCTGCGTCACCGATTGGCCGGCTACGTCGCAATCACCGACTCCCCAGGCTCCGAGCTCGTGCCGGAACTGATGGAGCTGTATCCGGATGCCAAGGTCGTCTGCACCACCCGTGATCCCATTCTGTGGGAGAAGAGTATGCTCCACGTGCAGAGTTTGACTGGTGTCTGGTTTGCGCGTGCTGTTCTGCTCCCGCTGGACGGGTTGAGACATTTTATTCCGTATGGATATTTGCTGGCTGCGCTTTGGGAGAGGCTGTATGGTGGTGTTGCTGGTCAGCATGGGAGGGAGACTTATGCGAACCATGTTGCTTGGTTGAAGGAGGTTGTGCCCGAGGATAGATTGATTTTCTTCGATGTCAAGGATGGGTGGGGGCCGCTGTGTGAGGCCCTGGGCATAGAAGCTCCTGTTGGTGTGCCGTTTCCTCGTGTCAATGATTCAGAGGCTATTGAGAGGTCCGTGAGTCATCACCTCCAAAGGGGCCTTATGCGCTGGGCTTGTATATTTGCCGGGATTGGTGTTGGGGTGGCTGCTTTTCGCATGTGGAGGTGAGACGGGATGAGATAGAGATAGTTGTATAGTGTGGTTGAAAGATGAGAGGTGACTATGTGGTTTTTTTTTGGTTGAGGAAGTTGGCGTGGACTTGTGGGAACTTTTGGAAGACTTTGGGTGTCGTTAAACTTCAAAATTCCAGCGACTGGGATGCCTTGGGCGATGTCAGTTTCTTCCATGGCCAGGTGTTGTACTGAACAGAGACACCACGAGAAAGTCAGTAGATCAACCTATAGTCATTTACATATTCATTTGGACACTAGATCTATGGCTTCCACGCCCTTTGGAATATGCTATACAAGATAAGAAACCGAAATATATTGCCCCGAATATTATATGTAAAAATCCACACACAGCCGCCGAGTCATTAACATAAGCCCGATATCATTGACGAGCCCGCTCGAGCGATGATGAGCCACAGCTTGTACGATCCATCCTTTCAAAGGTGGTTTCGATCTCCGTGTGAGTGAAGATCTTGCCCTGGGGGATAATGCGCTCCTCACTGGAGTTGCTAGCCGCGCCAATTTTGGTACCCATGGTCCTATCCTCATTGTAGTGGATTGTATCCATAGTGATGCTGTTGGGATCCGTGACCTTGGCAAATCCCGATGGATACCGCGGGCCAGTGGTGTTGCTTGACCAGGGGCCATATTTCTTCCCACTGCTGTATTCGCCGATGAAGCGGGGCACGAAGCGGGAAGCAATCGCTTTGAATGAGGGAATTGAAGCAGCAAAGATGCCGACGTTGGTTTCGATGACTGACCAGTACATGGCACCGCTAATGGCGTAGGTGGAGTCTTTCGAGGTAAGCATGGCAGGGATGTAGGTGATTCGGATGATCGAGGAGACACAAGCGCTGAAGGTAATTTCTTAGTAATTGTCCGCATGGAACTACGAGGGCACACTTACAAAAGACCAAGACAGAGGATGATAGCCAGAATAAACTTCTGTTTTTGAGGCATCTGGAGACTGAATATCACCTTGATGGGCAAGGTGTAAGTCAAGATATCGGTGAGAATGTTCAGGGCGGCGTTGCACAGGTAGAAAATGTTGATGGTGACACATTTTCCAGGTCCAGTACCAGTCCAGGCCATGCTGATGGGTTGACATTGGAATGCAGCCACGAGAACAAACGAGGTCGCTTGTGCTATGATAACTCCCATCATAACCCAGGATAGGCGAGTGAGATAGCGATCCCCAAGGCGAGTATAGAACCATAGGACGGAAGTTTTGATGAATCCAAGTGTTGCGAGATAGAACATTGAGCTCAGCCAGACGGCCTAGGAAAAGGTTAGAAAACATGATTTGCAAGAGACTGGGACCTGCATCCTTACAAAAGCATAGTCGACCATCCCGGCTTGGTCAACATCCCCAATGTGTTTTCCAAGTCCATGTTTGATCGCTAAATAACATCAGCTTCTGCAAAGATTCCTTAGAAGCGAAGCTAGAACATACCGACAAGCGTAACAGCGATAAATGACCACGATAACGCCTATATCCATTAGTGGTAACTCTTATCGATGGTCGAATGGAATTTTCTTACACTAGCGCCAATAATGAGGTCTGGAAGAAGTCAGTATAGTGTCGGCAAAGTAGATCAAGTATAATCCACCTACAGTCGTCAACGCCCATTTGACCCAAGACAAAAATGCGTGAAAAGAGACGAAGAGCCAGAACAACGAAGGTCAAGGCGGCAAATGCTATACAGATACCTGCGACCTTAGGACCCTGAGAGCCATTGCTACCAGCCATAACGATGGCGATAAAGAGATAAGCCAGAAACGAAGAACAGGGAGAAAGACCGTAAATTGATTTAAAGGAAGGAATTGGTCTTAATGAATGGCATAGACAGTCGTTTCCATATCGATCTCATGGAAAACGGACGATAAAATGCTCGCGTGAAATATCAAGAACACTAAACGGAATGGCTAATGGTACCCCGGTCTACACTTTATAACGAGTTTTCTCCCAGATGCCCCTGGGACTAGTGGGATTGAAATGACTGTGCACATCAGAGATGCATCGTGCATGGTTCTAGTAGCCTCCGAGATCCACTGTACCTATACCGCTAGAAAGGCCGTTGACAAAAAAAAAAAGAAAAAAGGTAAGGATTTGCAGGATTTTGTGTTATTACTCCGTAGACTAATATTAATAGGTAGACTAACACGAGCCAGACGGAGCTGTCATAACCGAGCATATCTCCACCACTCTAGACCTTTGCTGATCTACTCGTGAGAGGGTACGCCTGCATTTTATAGGAAGGGCGCCAGTTTCGCGATATTTAAAGCAAAAAAAAAAAAAAAAAGAAAAAAAAAACAAAAACATTCACCATATGAAGAGCGTTGGGGTGGGCTTTCTAACGCTATTATTTGCCACTCGGACGCTGTCTCCAGTCGCCAAGGTGTAAATGGATATATCCAATTCCTGTTGAACCAAGCCTCGGACCCTGTTCATTGGGTCCTTTGTTCTGAGGACAAGAAATCATTGTGTTTTAGCTCGCCGACGATATCCACCTGAAGACCGGGGTGGGATTGGCTCGGACAGGGATGGCTAGCTAGTCGTGGGCCGCCATATTTGACGTCTCGGAAACGATCATTGTGACTTTCTTACTATTGGAAGAGACCCGACCTTGAAAGTTTGGACTATTACTTATAATCAACGAGAAGCAGGAAAAAAGTTAAATATGGCTTGATAGAACGAAAGAAAGAGTTCGTGGGTCTCGGAGGATTCCCCGGGAGATGAGATGGAGAGATCTGATTTATCTTGATTTTCGTGCTGATGGAGATGTCCGATGGCGATCTTAATATGCTCCAACTTGGGTATGGAGTACTATTCAAACGTGTACATATTGTATACCATAACCCTAAATCCTTCTGACACAAAAAAAAAAATATAATGAGAGCAGCTAGAAAACACAAAATAATTTGGAAGATTTTACGAATGCTAAATATTAAATAATGATACCGAGGGGAAGGGAGCTGAACGATCTGCGCGTTTCAAGACCCCGAAATAGTTCTGCATGCTCTCCATGACAGAGTAATGGGTCTCCTAACGCAGAAATTCGAAGCCATCTTTATGCAGCCCACTTCCGATCTGCACGACTCCATTTGCCTTCCGAGCCGTCTTTAGTGGAGACGCTTGTTAAGCGAAAGAGAATTCGGACTGGGAATGATTTGGAAGTTTCATATGTGATATGAATTATGACTGTGTGGCACTCCGTACAGCAAATAACAGTACCTTTTCACATGTCGAGCTCCTTTCGGCAGTTAATTAGCCTCGCAGAGAATTCCATCATGGCTTCTAAACCGATTGACACAACGACGTCGAATATATGGAGTAGTAAGGGTTGGTATGTCTCATATTGGAAGATGACTGGTTAACTAGCTCCTTTGGCTCTGTGCACGCCTGGAATTTGAGACGCTCTTTCGTTTTGGCACATGATTCCATCTACCGCTCTCTTGACCGCCTTTTTCATCTGGGTACCTGCGCTTTATATTGCAACTGCTAGCAAGAACAAGTCACTCCAGTCTGAATATACGGCAGAACAAAAATAAAGTAGCAGAATCCCGAGTCCGACTCAAAATGGAAGGCGGTATTCAAATCCCGGCAGCCCAAGGGGTGTCAAGCCCCTATATGTACGGAGTACTCCGTACCATGCCCAGCTTTACTCCATATGTTGTACACAATGTATCTACGAAGCCCTCCGTACTTTAACCTGCCATTCTCTTTTTAATCTTTCTTGAAAACCAGACCACAAAGAGCTATCACTGTTTAAAGTTAGTGTCTAACTTGTTTCAAGCCTCAGAGTCCTAACGCTCCGGCCTGCTTAGGATCCATCGTATGTTGTAGTGAACTGGTATTAGCCCCGATTCCAACCTCTTCACATTCGTTTCAAGAGCATATGCTCGGCATATATTGTATGCATTCGGCTTAACAAATTTGCACGAGGACCCGGCCCGTCATCGTGTGCTTTATTTAGTCTTCAGAAACTGCCCAGTGAGAAATGGCCATTCCACGGTGGAGAATGCCACGACAGCAGCTCCACCGAGTACTTTGTTCTTTTCATTTAGCCCCGTGCAAATGTCTAGGAACAATAACCTGGTCTCGTACGGGGTACTTGGCAAGGAACTCCCGAGCATGTAAGGAGTAATCTCCTATGCTGATCATTGTCTCAAATGTTCGTGGGCAACGGCGCAACGGCACACCCACCTACCCGCACGGCCCCCTCTGACAGACAACGTCTTTCTCCATACCCTGAACATCTTTACTGCTTTAGGAAGCTATACAGGATCGATCTTTACTAGGAATGTGCATAGCGATGGGCCAGCCACAAAACTGTCTACGATGCACTTATTACCACTCTAGCGCAAGGACTAGCGCAAATGGGGAGGGATCGATGCACGAAATGCCCCATGCTGAGCATAGCTTCAACGGTTTAAACCTACTTGGGTCTAGGCGTACAGGATTATCGTGAGGGTCTTCTAAGCTCGAGGTACGGAGTAGCTCTTTGGCCAATGCCCGTTAGACCCCTTACTACAAAGTGATTTTTAATGCCAATGGCCATTGGTGCTTTTATTTCCGGAACTCTTTCCCTCCGCTGGTCAGAAAGAGGGGCTTTCATCTTCAATGTTTCTCTAACTTCGCCATGGGTCTTGCAGAAAATGTCCTGTCACTGGTGACGGTGACCAATGTCATCCTGGGACTCGTTGTTTACCTCGTGCTGAAGTTTACCTGGCAAGTCATTTACTATCGCTTCTTTAGTCCGCTCGCGAAATTCCCGGGTCCTTTCTGGGGCTCTGTAACTCGTCTTTGGATCGCATGGCATAATCTACTGGATACTGAGGTGCCCACTGTTTATGCGCTTGCTAAGAAATATGGTGAGTCTTGGTCCTATACTCAAAAGGAATGTTTCTAAGTCAATTTCCTCAGGTCCTGTTGTTCGCATCACCCCGACATTGTTGCTGGTCAACGATCACGAAAAGCTCCCGGAAATCTACCACCGCAATGCAGACAAAACCGGACACTACATCACTGGAAGCTTCGGCGAGACCGAGTCGCTGTTCAACATGAGATCTCACAAGACTCATGCCGTATTCAGGAAGCACGTTGCTGGACCGGTATGATGATCTACGAGTTCAGTTGGAGATATCAAACTGACACCCAACATAGTACAGCTTCAGCAACATCAAGAAAATGGAGCCATTGATTGATCTGCGCATCACCGCATGGACCAACAAGCTCACAGAAAAGTTCGTGAAGACCGGCGAAGCCTTCGATTTCTCCTGGTGGGCAGTGTAAGTAGCAACACGAGCCAAATAAATCATTGCCCCGACTAACAACGCAATCAGCTACATGGCCTACGACATCATCAGCGAAATCGGGTTTGGCGAGCCCTTCGGCTTCGTCGAAAAAGGCGAAGACATCGGCGGCCTCATCCAAGGCTTCCACGACGGCCTCCCAGCCTTCGGCCTCCTAGCCCGCCTCCACCCCTTCACCTCATGGATTAAAACTACTGCCCTGAAAAAATACCTCGTGGCCTCACCAGCCGATGACTCTGGCATCGGCGTTCTCATGCGCTTCCGCGACCGACTCATCGACCAGCGCATCAAGGACATCCAAAACGGCAAGAAAATCGACCAAACAGACCTGCTCCAGACCTTCCTCGAAGCTCGAACAGAAGAAGGCAAACCCCTAGATTTGGAGTACATCCGCGCGGAGGTCCTACTCGTCCTGCTCGCTGGCGCAGACACAACCGGCACCGCCTTCCAGGGCATGATGCACTTCCTCATTACGCACCCGGAGGCGTATGAGCGTATGATGGCGGAAATAGATAACGCAACCCGCAAGGGCCTCATCTCTGATATGCCACAGTACAATGAGGTCATGGAGCACTTGCCTTTCTATGTGGGCTGTGTGAAGGAGACGATGCGTCTGTGTCCGTCCGCACCGAACATCTTCCCCCGTTATGTCGCTGAGCCTGGTGTTGAGCTCTATGGTCGCTTCGCGCCAGCTGGTACCGAGGTTAGCTGTAACCCATACCTTGTGCATCGGGATCCGAGGCTTTATGGGGATGATGCTGAGGAGTTTAAGCCCGAGAGGTGGTTGGATGCTGAGAAGGCGAAGTTGTATAATAAGTATAATTTCTCGTTTGGGTATGGGTCGCGTGTTTGTTTGGGGAGGGACATTGCTATGATGGAGTTGTTCAAGGGTCCTTTGCAGGTGAGTTCTCTCTTTGGTCCTGTGACAACCATTCTGGGGTACTAATGTGTTGTTTAGTTCTTCCGTTCATACAAGCTGGAGACCGTAAAGGATAAGCCTGAGGCCAAATTTATGATTAAAGGTGGTATTGGGTACTGGAGAGACTTGTGGTTGACCATCTCTCCCCGACCAAACGTGAAGGTCGAGTGAAAACTGAGCTTTGGACAAAATATGGACATTGAACTTCAAGATTACTAGGCCTTGTAGAAAAGAATCGCATTCCAATTTCCAAGGGATCCAGCTCAATGATGCCCTGTAAATAACGTGACTGCTTCTCCCTTGATTTTCCCTTTCAAATTTCTGCGTATGATACGGCCATTTCCATTCTCCAGGATCCCCTCTGATCTCCATGTCTCAAATGGTAAACCCGGATACCTAGCTCAAGATTAGCAACGGGGCTTCAGTATCACTGTTCAGCCTGCATCTTTATCCAAATTGACTCTCAAGTCATAGTCAAGATATCTGTTCCTTTTGAAGCGAGATGTGAGAGCTTT